GCGACCAAAGGGAACTCTTTATCTGCCAAAAAAAAAAGCATTTTTTAAGCATTTACTAAACTTTGTGCTTTTTCTTCTAACGCTACCCGCGTTTAGTTTCATTATGGTCGTGATCCATTCATGCATTTAGCTAACACTTGTATTTTCGTATTATGAAGAATTGAATTTTGAATTTGTATTATTTTTTAAATAATAAATCTTGTATTGTTGATATTATAATTTGTGTTTTATTTGACTTTAGCTAGGAAGCTGCTGGTGGCAGTAATTTTTACATGATTTCTAAATTTTTTTCCGCCATTATGATGATGCTTATGACGCAGCATCGATAATAATCTGTATTGTTGAAAAAATAATAACATCGTTCCGCCACTAAGTCTACTATTTTTAATAATAATAATATTCTTTATTGACATACACCTCACAGGACATAAAAGACATTAAACATGACAGTGAAAACGTACACAGTAGGCGGCCTTATTGCTAAACAGCAATCTCTTCCAGGCAACCCACAAGGGCGGATCCAGCTTTGGCGCAGGGGGGGGGGGGGTCATATAGTCGTGGTCAAGTCACAGTAGGTAGGATTGTAAGTACAGATTGTGAAGTGGGTGACCCCCCATGACCGGCCCCTTGGATCCGCCCTTGGCAACCCGTGACAGTGAAATAAATGAATAAGACGAACAAGAATTTTATTTATATTAGTTACTAGCGGCCGCCCGCGACAATTTTTTTTTTTAATCTCTTAAGAACCTGGATCAGTGAAATTGTAAAAGATACCTATCAATCCAATCAAAAGTATTGGAAATCAATTTCTAAATGAAGTCGTTGAGACACCAACGATGCATGCTATCGATATGGCTAAATAGGTTTAAGATTCTTAGCTTTTAACATATGCTTTATATGCAAACACCTTTTGTCAACCCTATTTAATGCAAATAAAGATTATTCTATTCTATTCAGCTGCTGCCCGCGCGCAGCCTTTGTGATATTGATGAGTTGGTGGGAGAAGTGGTGACATGTCCGGACTTTTTGCCCTTTGTCCGGACTATGCCCGACTTTATTATTTGTCCGGATTTTTTAATTAGGTGGAGTATGAGAAAAACTACTTATTAAGTTACATCAAATTAGTCAAATAATGTTTATTAAGTTCTCATTAATTAACCATCCGTCCGGATTTATCCGTCATGTCCGGACTTTTGGCCATTTGTCCGGACTTTGTCCGCATTTTTGTAATTAGGTGGAATATGAGTAAAATTACTTATTTAGTTACATCAAATCAGTAAAATAATGTTAATTAAGTTCTCATTAATTTAAAACAAAATATAGTTTAAAAATATAATTTAAAACAAAATATAGTTTTAGTAACCTTTCAAAATCAAAAACGAGACCCCCTCGCGATGCGAGCGTCTGCTACCACGCGTATAATATCACTGTAACTAAGTGGGTGATGTTTGCATTTTGTGACTAAAATGTTCGGACTTTTATCGAAATGTCCGGCTTTTAGTCTGGGCTTTTCAAAATTTTAAATAGTAACCCTATTATCTACCGCGGCCCCGATAACAATGCGAAGAGATGGCGCTGCCTTGCAGCTTAAAAATGGCTAGAAGAATTTAGACGCGGCCATCAGGGCCGCGGTAGCATAATTGGTCAGTGCATTCGCCCGGATAGCGAAGGGTGCGGGTTCGAGTCCCGTCTGCTGCCTGGTTCGCGTGGAATTTTTTCTAGTTATATTTTCTGTACATATTCCTTCTGAGATAAAAAAAAAATAGCGTATTCCTCTGATTAACAGCTAAGAAGGAATATGTGCATTACATTGCGGAGATAAAGGCGAATTTGCTATGTAACCGTTTTGGAAATTCGCATCGATGTACTTCGACTTTGCTCTAGTATAAATGAGAGGAGCTCGATGGCGCAGGTGGTTAGCGCGTCCGGCTGCAATCGTTAAAGTTAAGCAACAATCGCAGTGGTCGGTCATTGGATGGGTGACCAAAAATCTTCTATCTCTAGTTCCTTCGTGCTTCGGAAGGCACGTTAAGCCGTTGGTCCCGGCTGCATCTGCAGTCGTAAGCACCCGCTAATCCGCACTAGGCCCGTGTGGTGGGTTATGGCCCAATCTCCCTATTCCATCCATAGAGAAGGCCCCAGCAGTGGCGACATTAATAGGCTGATGATGATGAGGTGACAGCACGGAGACGAAAGTTCTACTCATCCTCATTCCATCTATCATCCTTTTTTTCTAGTTATATTTTCTTTAGTTTCTTTATTATTTTTTTTAAACACTCACACCAATTAGCCTAGCCCCAAAGTAAGCACTGTAAGGCTTGTGATATGGGATACTAGGGTAACGGATAGAATACATATACTGTACATATCTTTATATATATAATTCTTCTGTGAGTGTGTATGTCACTGAACTTCTCTTAAACGCCTGGACCGATTTTGATGAAATTTTTTGTGTGTGTTCAAGAGGATTTGAGAATGGTTTAGATTCACAATTTTGTCCGCTGGACAACCCCTATTTTTTTAGGGCGGTACGAAGTTCGCTGGGTCAGCTAGTATAAATATATTATTTAGAAATGCATATTATACATCCATGACTGGAGTACAAATGTTCGTATTCATCACACAAACATCTGCCCCACCGGGATTCGAACCCAGGACCTCTCGAGGCGGCGACACCATGAAGCCCGGTGTACAAACCATTCGGCCACGGAGGTCGTCATTTAAACATCAAAGCAGTTACATGCTTAAATCAATCAATTTATTTGTTCAAATATGAGTATATAATTTGGTGTTACATAATTAAAATGACCATTCATAGTTTACCCTATATGGGTGTGAAACAAATTAGGTACCGTATATTTACAAAATCCAAAATTGTCACATATCAGTAATTGTACTTAAACAAGATTAAAATTGTGATAAAAGCAAACATTTAATAAATTATATTTTTTATTATTTTAAAGCATGTAACTGCTTGGTGTTTAAATCTAAAGAAAATATAACTAGAAAAAACATCCACGCGGGCCTTGCAGCTTAAGAATCGCTAGAAGAATTTCGACGCGGTCCGTGAGGGCCGCGGTAGCATAATTGGTCAGTGCATTCGCCCGGATTGCGAAGGGTGCGGGTTCGAGTCCCGTCTGCTGCCTGGTCCGCGTGGAATTTTTTCTAGTTATATTTTCTTTATATAATAAATTGTCAAAATAAATAGATTTTTCTCAAATGACACTTAAAAAATAGTAATAATTACATATCAATAATAACATTTTAAAAATTAAAACTATTCTACTCATCCGTCAAAACGCGTATGACGTCATAGTCTATGGATCAATTTAAATTCTAGATCGATTAATTCGCGCTAGAAACTTCATACATAAACTCTTCACGGTCACTGTGATACCAACTGGTGCAGTAAAAGGCAATGCCCACTTTGTATGGGACTTTGGCTTAATATATGAGGAGCTCGATGGCGCAAGTGGTTAGCGCGTTCGGCTGCGATCGTTGAAATTAAGCAACTTTCGCAGTGGCCGGTCATTGGATGGGTGACCAACAATTTACTATCTCGAGCTCCTCCGTGCTTCGGAAGGCACGTTAAGCCGTTGGTCCCGGCTGTATCTGCAGTCGTTAGCACCCACCAATCCGCACTGGGCCTGTCTCGTCGTGGCCCAATCTCCCTATTCCATCCATAGGGAAGGCCTGTGCCCCAGCAGTGGGGACATTAATAGGCTGATAATGATGATGATGATGGACAGGCATTTTAACAAGCAAAACTATACAATGCAATAATTTTGAACTACCCAGAACCTTTGCATCATTTTTAATTTTGTATCAGTATACTTTTAAACTTGCTTCGGAAGGCACGTTAAGCCGTTGGTCCCGGCTGCATCTGCAGTCGTTAGCACCCGCCAATCCGGACTGGGGGGTGATGGGTCATGGCCCAATCTTTCTATTCCATCCATAAGGAAGGCCTGTGCCCCAGCAGTGGGGACATTAATAGGCTGATGATGATGATACTATTAAACAATTTTTGGCACCGCGCTGGAATACAGTTATATAAGCACAAATAAACCATTTTCGCAACGATCTGTAATATTCGAAGTCATGTATTACCAATACGATGTCTAAACACTGGGTAAATATACTTTCCAAGATACACAATTAAATAAAATCGTGAATAAACATCTAATTCTTTAAATATGCTGCGTAAAATTAATATTTTACAATATGGCGTGCCATTTCACATGCATAATATCAAATCTCTAAACGAAAAAGTGAAGTGTCCGCCCAGTGCGACTGGCAGATGCAGTCGAGAACACCGGCTTAACGTGCCTTTGGGTGCGGCCAGAGTGCCCTCAGATTCAGAGTCAGATTCAGATTCTGAAAACAAGCGCGAGAAATAAACAGTGTAGTCGAAGGGTACGGCCAGATTGCACTCCTGATTCAGATTCAGATTCAGACTCAGAAAACAAAGCGCGAGAAAAAGCAAGCAACCTGCTTAGACTACACTGTTTATTTCTCGCGCTTGTTTTCGAAATCTGAATCTGAGTCTGAATCTGTGTGCACTCTGGCCGCACCCTTTCGAAGCACGGAGGAGCTCGAGACAATAAGTTTTTGGTCACCCATCCATTATAAATAAAATAAATGAGCTACTATTATTATAAATGGTTAAGCATAATTTGTATACTAACAAACAATGTGGATCTTATTTATTTTATTAATTAATTAGCTCACAAAACAAGTTACAATTAAATATAAAAAACAACAAAGCAATTACATTAACATAAAACCAAATAGTAACTCCAAATATGTGGGCATAACATGATAAAATTTTATGGGCTGAAGTTTTAATTTAATATTTAAAGATTGTTTTAATTTCAACAATTAAACAAAAATACTTAAATAAAAGTACATCTATCAGGATCTATGATATCTGTTTTAAATGAATTATTATTTATTATTATTATAAAGTTTTACTTTCACGTATTATTTATTTTAATTTCCAGGTTTCGTCCCCGGCGGGGCTGCAGTTCCTGTTGTAAGTATCTATTAAAAATCAATAAAAGTTTATTTAATTAATTATTAAGCACACTTAAGCGGTGAAGCCAGCATAACAGGGCTGATGACGGGGTAAACTGAATATTATTTAGTCCGTCAGTTATATTAACAAAAAATAATTGTCACATATTTTTGCACTCAAACTTCTTTAAGCAAACTTGACTTGGGGGGTAAACTGGCGAATGCGTTACGCGTTACGAAGTGTCACAGGTCACACATGTATATATGTAAGTTATGTTACGAATGTCGTTTTTTGAACATTGCAGATGCGGATGCGAATATCTGGTACCGACATTCGCGAATGCGAATATTAAGTTTTTGTTCAAAATTGGCGTCAATTGTCTATGGCATGGTGGCAGTCTCGTTCGAATTGCCGAGTTGATATGAGGTATATTCCGAAATATTGATCAGTACGCTGGCCAGCGGTAATGACGTCATGATTTCGACGCCATATTGCACTGGTGTAGTACTTAGTAGTGTTATCAATATGGCATCGAAATCATGACGTCATTACCGCTGGCCAGCGTACTGGTGTATATTTCGGAATTCCCCCCTTGATCTCATCCGACTGAAGTGTCATTCCGCTCGCGCTGGTCTTTGTAGTGATTTATTAACATGAGTAAATCAAATTCTAGTGAAAATATGGACTTATTTCACACTTTGCGATGAATTACACAGTTAAATGCAAGCTGTGTAATAATGAATATTCAAGAAAAGGAAGAACTACAACTTCTTCAAATTGTTTTTTTTTTCTAATATTCATATTCGCAAAACATTCGCGAATATTCGCGAATGCGAATATTTGATACATCACTAATATATATACATACAGATGGAGCTAAAGAAGTTTCACTTCAGTCGTGTGGTCATTACACACTCGCTTTACACAAAGTAAGAGAGATTGGGGGCTCGTGACGTCACTTCTAAGTAAAAATTGTACCAAGGCGTGACGTTATGCAACATTCAAAACAATATATAATATATAATTTGATGACCTGTGGCCGAGTGGTTTATACGCCGGGTTTCATGGTGTTGCCGACGCGAGAGGTCCCGGGTTCGAATCCCGGTGGAGGCAGATGTTTGTGTGATGAATACGAGCATTTGTGCTTCAGTCATGTATGTTTGATATGTATTTCTATATAAATATACTTATATATTATGTAAAATATAAAATATATGTATTCCAAATCCATCCTTGCCACAGCGTGTACTTGCCAATCAAGAACCAAACAGAGCCATTAAATTGCTTGGGGTTAAGCTAAATTGGTGTTTAAAACAATATTTGATCGCATCGTTCCTCCTTTAGGGTGGCTACCAAACCTCATACGCCGGGCAGCCCCAACGTAGAGGATTGGGTACTGGGGCAGCAGTTGGGATGGGAGTGGGCGCCTTGGCCGCGGGGGGGCTCGCGGGGTACGCGCTGGGAGGGGGCTTCAGTAGCAATAACGACACATCAGAGGTGAGTTCCTTGATCTATAGCTGGATGTGGAGATTCTTGTAGGTTTGCAGGTGGTGTTTAGCACACGTGATTGAAAATGAACAGTGGGAGCGAGCCCTCAGAGATAGGATGGACATCTTTAATCAATAATCATAATCAAAATCATTTATTCAGTTTAGGCTGTTACAAGCACACATGAATGTCTAGAAGCTACGCCATCGGTTCGTAAATCTACGGACTGACACAAAGACCTTGTAAGGCTTGAGACCTTGTACAGATCCACTGAGAAGCATATAAGTGTGCGAGAGGTTTAATAGCAATAACGATATATCAGAGATGATTTCCTTGATCTACAGCTGGATGTGGAGATTCTTGTAGGTCTGCAGCACAAGTGACTGGGCTGGAATGTAGGATGGGGTTTTGTAGGATGAGCCGTCAGAGGAACACGAAACAATCTGTAGGTAAAGCAGGAACACGTGAGAGTATGCGAGGATAGTAAGACACCAGAGTTAAGTCATCCTTATAGGTAGCAGAATAATCAGCATAATATATACCTACTAAAAATGTAAAGCACACTATAAAAGTTATTGTATATAAGCTATCTTCTAAATTATGTAATGGGAAGTGACTTCAGAATAGGGTATTTGACAAGTTTTAGAAAACGATCTCACGTTATTGGCTAATGTTTATGGAGTCCGTAAAAAGTGGATATTCATCATTCTGTTGTGTATTTCAGTAAAAATAACCAAATCAAAAACTCCATTTTCAACTTGCCGAAAACGTTTCTCTGGACAATATGGCGACTTACTAGTGTGTGACGTCACACGACTGTTATTAAAACGTCAAACGATACAATGTAATGTCACCTTAACCGGAAGTTTATTTGCGTGTGACGTCATTTTAGGCTCTGCCGATCCCAAGCCTTTTGGGTCACGTGACAATAGATAAGAAACCTATTGTCTTTTTCGTGGGTTTTTAGTAAAATTATGTTTTTTTTGTAAAAATAGTTAAAACCCCTGCCAATATTCATTCTAAACACAGATGCTAACATATAGCACTTTATTTTTAATACTGTAAAATACCCTATTATATCTGAAGTCATTTTTCGACATGACGACTCCGTATATGATAATATAGGGAGAGAAAAGCAGCCTATGCTGAGTTTCTGGCCGGTTCTTCTCAGTACAAGACCTCCCGCCGTAGTTTTGCGAACCGATGGCGTAGCTTTTCGATTTTCGCAAGTGCTTGTAACAGCCTAGACTGAATAAATGATTTTTGATTTTGAAGCACTCATCCTCACACTGAGAAACCTCCAGAAGGCGAATCTCCTTCTAGTATTCTTCAGTGAGGTTCAACAAGGAAAGCTGCTTTCCCGGAGTATGTTCTTAACATTGTTTTATTATATATTTAATGTCGGTTTATAATAGTTGTTGACGACAGCCGTGCACCGAGACAAGAAAAAACGTACCGACCAATCACAAGGCCTACTTTAAAGGGGCGTGGCATCATGCGACGGAGAAATGGTCGCGTGATGAACCGCCAATCAGAAGGCTTACTTTAAAACAGGACACGTGGGTATCCGTAATAAAGTGGGCGCTGTGATTGGTCGATGGCTCCGGACGGCCGGGGCCTAATTATTATTTAAGACAAACATTTGTGAGGCAAATCACGGTTCCCAACTTAGGGGTTTTGCCCCCAGATTTAGGGGCTAGAAGGGTTAAAAGGGATTTTTAGGGGCTTGAATTTTTTGGGGGTTCTTTTAGGGGCTTATAACAAAACCATCAATTAAATCGAAAAACAAGCGTGTGCTTTCTTTCAGTTTTGTGCGTAGAATGGAATGCACCACGATATGTAACGACTGAACTCACTGTGTGGCAGGTTTTTTCCTAAGGCTGTATGGACTAAAGTTCTTTGCCTTCCACCAATCAAAACAGCTAAATAAGATTTAACAGCCTGTCAGCTCATTTTCGTTTGATTTTCCATTCGGAAAATGTATTTATTCAATAAAATAATTTACTGTAACTAAATATGTAACGTTTTAATTTATGAGCAATGAAAGAATTTAGGTAATAAGATAAGTAGGTACATATAAATTCTATATTTAGGGGATTCTAGGGGAATTTAAAAAATACTTAGGGTAAAATTTTGGTAAGGGTTGGTAACACTGAGGCAAATTGTAGTCAGCCAAAAAAAAAATTCATTCAATTCAGTCAGCCAGGAACAAGCAACATGCGAACAACTAGCCAGAAGAATAAAGGAAGTAGTAAAGCAAGTTAAGCAACTTTCGCAGTAGTCGTTCGTCGGATGGGTGACTCAAAATATATCTCTCGCATCTCCGTGCTTCGGAAGGCATGTTAAGCTGTTGGTCTCGGCTGCATCTGCAGTCGTTAGTACCCACCAATCCGCATTAGGCCCGCGTGTTGGGTCATGCCCTATCTCCCTATTCCTTCCATAGGGAAGGCGTGTGCCCCAGCAGTGGGGACATTAATAGGCTGAGGACAACAGTCCGTCCTTGTCATTGTTTATATGGAATGAATTTCTTCTCTCTTTCGACTAGCCAAGTGAAGTGCCGACATCATAAGCAAGGTTGCTATTTATCAACACAATAATATATATTATACAATTACCAGAATCAAACTCCTGCACCTTACCCGAGCCCTGGAGGCCATCTTGCCCTAACTCCACAACAAATACCGGCGCAAGGAAATCTTTCATATCCATCACCACCTGTGACCGCCAATCATGAACCAAATCCATCCTTGCCACAACCTGTACCTGCCATACAAGAACCAAATCTAACCTTGCCACAACCTGTACTTGCCAATCAAGAACCAAATCTAACCTTGCCACAACCTGTACTTGCCAATCAAGAAGCAAATCCATCCTTGCCACAACCTGTACTTGCCAATCAAGAACCAAATCCATCCTTGCCACAACCTGTCCTTGCCAGTCAAGAACCAAATCCATCTTTACCCCAAAATACACCCACAAGTCAAGGACTTGGAGGCCTAACAGGAATGTTACAACCGGCAGCCATGATGGCCGCTAGTGGACTGGGAGGTGCTATGATTAATCGCGTATTTAAAAAAGACGCTGATTCAACGCAGGTAGATATAGTTAAAGTTAGGCCGATGAGAAACGATACAAAATTTATTTATTTGTCTTTAACAAAGTTTCTACAGCGATTTTTGTGGATGTAATACAATAAAATATAAATACAATCTTAAGGACAATTTCAGAAACTTGTTATATACACATTAGATAATAACGGCGTTACTTGAAATAAATATTACATTTAATTTAAAAATAGTATAAAAACAAATACTAAATACCAATATAAATAAAAGGGTTTACAGAAATTTGTCACTCATGACAACTTTATGAAGTGTGGGTGTGTGGTGGTTTGTGCCCATGCATTTGTATTTTAATTTGCGTATATTTAAATAAAATTTAGAAAACTGGGTTTAATTATAATTAATATTCTAAAAACTAAATTAAATAAATTATTTTTTTACTATAAAAAGGCCGCCCGAATGTTGGCGAACTCAGCGTCTCGGCAATCTCGTTATTAGACTGTCAGTCTCATAGTATAGATATATTCTAAGGTGAATGAACTTTTGTATCGCTTCTCGTTGACCATACTTTAGATAGGTAGAAAGATAAATCATTTGTGTCCGTACAGCAAACAAATTCGAGTAGACTGTGGCATTAATTAGTATAAAACTATGTGCCGCAACAAACAAGAAATTATAGTGGCAGAGTAAGACAGTTTTATATTGAGCACTTGACTGTTAGAGTTTCTTAAGTATATTTTTATTGAAGCTGCTAGATTTTTATATTGTCTAAAGAAAATTTTATAAGAAAAAAAAACAGGTACACTCGCGGAAAGACCCGCTCTGTCACCCATAATGCCATAATCGCTTGCGGTAGCGGCGTAGTAAAAATTCATTCATAGACATGTAATTATCGCTGTCTTACTTTTTCGTATAGCGCTATCGCGATCACGATGCGGATGACAAATTGCAACTAAAACAAATGCAATGCAATTATTCATTAAACAATCATTATTCAATCAATGAAATGCTCTCTGTCTTACTTTTGTGCGGCGGCCCGGATTGGCGCGTCCGAAGCGAAGGCGTGGCGTAGTAAAAACTACTGTAGAAAACCGTTCAAAGCATTTTGTTCGCCAAGTGACAGAGCGCAAAATTCCGTGATAGTACAGGGGGTCTAAAATAAAAGTCAGTTGTATACGTTTCATATATTAAGTTGAACTTTTTCAATCTTTGAAAATGCCAAGATATTTATTGAAACATAAAAAATGAACATATACATAAATAATAGGGTATTTGACAGTATTAAAAATAAAGTGCCAATTGTTTTTACTATTTTTACAAAAAAAATATTCATAATTTTACCAAAAACCTACGAAAAAGATTATAGTTTTCTTATCTATTGTCACGTGACCCAAAACGCTTGGGATTGGCGGAGCCTAAAATGACGTCACACGCAAGTAAAGTTCCGGTGAAAGTGACATTACATTGTATCGTTTGACGTTTTAATAACAGTCGTGTGACGTCACACACTAGTAAGACGTCATATTGACCAGAAAAACGTTTTCGCGGCAACTTGAAAATGAAGTTTTTGATTTGGTTATTTTTACTGAAATACACAACAGAATGATAAATATCCACTTTTTACGGACTCCATAAACATTAGTCAATAACGTGAGATCGTTTTCTAAAACTTGTCAAATACCCTATTAAATTGAAAATTTAGAGAAAAAAGTCATGCAACTTTCACATTTTAAAGTAGTGTTGATTATTAATACATTAGCTATAGATTAGTTAGCTCATCTTAAATAAGTAGGACCTAGCTTAGTTTGTTTTGGAAAGACCTTAGAAATAAACATAGTACTTATTTTAATGCCTAATTTCAAATATTTTTTCAAATAAAATAATAATAATTGCCAGACCGCTCCTCCTGCTACCCAACCAAGCCCAGAGGGTCCTAACCCGTCTGTATCACAAGAACCCCATTCGTCTCAGCCCCAACCCATGCAAGCTAATCAAGAACCCCTACTATCTCCGCCACAACCTGTCCCGGCTAATCGAGAAGAACACATTCCAACCCCGGCTAATCGAGAAGAACACATTCCAACCCCACCACAACCCGATGTTGAGTTTGAATCACAAGATGAAAGTGAAAATAGCGAAGATGATTCAGACGTTAGTTTTTCTCTTATGATTTTATCGTAAATTACATTATAATTTCAGCGCGTGTATTTGATCACGTTCTTCACCTTACGAAAGACTGTAGAAAAAAAAACAATTCAAATTCAAAAATATTAATAAATGATACAAAGTAATTATAATGTTTTGGTTGATATTCCTAGTGGTGAGTATGAAGTTACACAAGGATCGAGTAGGTACATGGTGTGGTATTAAAATCTTCTATAGCTAACGCGGTAGGCTGTAGTAGGTATGTGTTATTAATTATAATTAAGGAAGCATTTACCAGTCTGATTTACGATATCTCAGGATGCGCAGAAATCGCGGGATTTGTATAACTCGATGAAAGGTGCGATGCGGTGAAACAATTGAATTATTAACGGTATATATATTGATGCGCAAATTGCATGACGATCAATGGCGAATTAAGAAGTGACGAACGTGAACGTCGTTGAAACTGCGGGCGACAAGCGCTAACGCGCGAAGTTCGCGCAGGTACAAAAAAAAAACAATAAGCAAACAGGAATTTAAAACGTGGTGTCACCGCTCTACCAGTCAGCTCTCAGGTAGTAAATATAAAATTTACCACGGAAAAAAATATTATTAAAAAGACCCGGGCGAGCCGGACTCGCCCACTCGCTCCAGGATTCCGTACAAATTTGAAGGTACGCAACGTAAACAGGCGTATTCATTTTTCGTTTACTTTAGAAATTAGATTATTTTTCACAGCTTTAATGGACCGTTGATCTGAGTATATGGTTTAAAATTTAACTAGATATCTCCACGTGTTTCTGAGATTAAGGGTCTTGGCGGACAGACAGACGGATGGACAACAGAGTGACCCTATAGGTACGGGTTCCGTTTTTTGCTATTGAGGCATAAACACAAACAAATTTATGTGATAATCTAAGTGTAAGGCAGAGTAAAACGATAGGCAACTTATACAACTTTTGTATTATTAACAATACAATACAATACACAATTCTTTATTGAAAATACCACAGTACAGTACAGATGAGGTAAATACATTATGTGTAAACAAAGTGCTTCAATGGGCGGTCTTATCGCTAAAAGCGAATTCTTCCTGACAACCTTTACTTTTTTATTTAATTTTAATATAGCGGCCTTATGAATAGCTATGGCAACTGGTTGCCAACTTTATCTAACTTTTCACATAGACAAACAAAGTCACGCGGGATCACCAGCGTATGAAGTCTGAAAGCAAGATTTTTTGAGCTTACCTGGGATCTCGGACATTTTAGTTCTTATGGATGCCTTAAAAATGTACACATGACATAAAGCTCGAAATATCGTTGATATATTCTTTAGAGACGAACATTGAAAGGTTGAAATCGTTGATCGTTGTACGTAAATAAAAGGTTTGACACAAATAATAATTAACCATCTATGAAAACTTTACGCATGCATACGAAGATGGTGTACGGAGGCAGTGATATCCCGGCTAACATGGAAGAACTTAGCCTAGAACAGCCAACTACGGATAACGACTATTTGGAGAACGCAACCAACGAAGAGAAAGTGAGTTACAATCCAAATTGAATTGAGAAACCATTGAAAATTCGGCTTGAAATTAACCAAAATTCACAAAAACTTACCTTAAATTTGAAACAATCATTGTGCGTAACAATTATTTTGCTTGCGCATGTTTTATGATTTAGTTTCGGTATTAAATACCAATCTTTGTTTACTTACACGCATGCCTAGCTGGAACAAGGCGATAATGAAATTGTAGCCAACTCAGAAGAAGAAAATGCAGAAGAGCAGCCAACAGAAGATGACTATTATTTGGAAGATACAGAAAATCAAGAAGTGAGTTGGAATAGACTAATAGAGTTGATAATTTACTATTGAACGACCATTTGAGAACACCAAGGATGTTAGAAAGTCATTGAGTGCTCGATATGTCCTTGTGTTTTTTTCTGTCACTTGTGTGTGCTTATTTGCTTCTTTCAAATATTTTTACTTGATATCCTTACCCCCATAGTTTTTACCAATAACTTGCTAAATTAAGGGATAATACAATATAATGAATTTGAATTTACACGCATACACATTAAGGTGGAACAAGGAGAGAAAGAAGTTGTGGCCAATACGGAAGAAGAAAATGCAGAAGAGCAGCCAACCGAAGATGACGATTATTTGGAAAATACAGAAAATCAAGATGTGAGTTGGAAGTATTATTGTGATTGGCGTAATATATTTAACAACATTTTATTGAATGTTAAATACGTTAGATATAATAATAAATATATTGACTGCTTTGACTGACAATTAAGCTAAGAATATTATTAACCTGTGAGAATAGGTTTTCTTTTGATTAATTCTTTGCTTTATTTTATAATAATTTTAAGTTAACAACATACTAAACACAATTGTTGCCTTGAAGCTCATATGAATAGTACCTTTTCTAAAATAAAAATGCAGTTACTGTTCATTAAAATGGCCTATCTTTATCACTTTAAAATAATAAAAAAAGACATTTTGAACGCCATCTAATCTAACATAAAGAACCTAATCAAATATGCATATGTAAGTTACATCCCATGTCACTAATAAATTAAAACGTATTAATGGCACTTATTGCATGTAGCGCCATGAACTAGGCATGATTCCTATCGTTATTGACCTACCTAATAAATATATTTAATTTAAGTGTGCTATTATTACTGAGAAGTGAGAATTCTACCAAATGTGACAAACACATTTTGTAGAGAATGCTTTTAGCATTAAGTCCGCCTCCTGTACCATATTAATGTACTGTTCAATAAATTTTGATAATAAATAAATAAATAAATAGTACGATTTTACGTTCTTAATATTTACCTATTTCTTGAAAATTACACGCACACATCAGGTGGATGAACGGGAGAACGAAATCCCAGCCTATACGGAAGAGGAAGCGGCTCCAGCTGAAGATGACGACTATTTGGAAAATGATGATGAATAAATAAGTGAGTTGGGCGCGCAGTGACTGCATGCACGCTTGACTTGCACTGGCCAACTTTGAATAACAGAATAGCTTACACTGGCCAACCTAAAATAATGTTTAGCTAAATTGGAAGAAGACTTTTTTTTACACGGCCCTTTGTATAACGGGTGCCGTACACTATTTTGCTTATACATTCTTTCATTCTTCACCGAATGATTAAAAAAGATTCATGAATATTACAATATTTTTTTATAATTATTTATATATAATAAAAAGATATGATCATTCATTTATTACACAAAAAAAATAATATTCTTGTTATTAACTATAGATGAAAATATAAGATATAAAAATACAATTAATATTGTAAAATTATATTTTTAAAATAACGACTGTCACTTATATTTTCAAATTAATGTTGTTATATTATTTATTTTCTCTTCTAGAGAACAGGTTTATAAATAGGTGACAGTTTTACGCTTAACAATTTGGTACATTTATAGTTTACGACCTGAAATGAGACATCGGCTACATTAAATTTTCTTCTCTCTCCAGAAACCAAAGTTAATGCAGATGAAATCGCGTGGCGCCCCCGTCATATTAGTTTTTTTTCTCACGCTCTTACTGGTTGACTGGTAGAGAATGCCTTATGGCATTATGACCGCCATTTGCTTTGTAATTTTGCAATAAAGTTTAAATAAATAAATAATCAGAACTTTGGCAGATCGCCATCTTACGCCAACGACCGCTATCGTAACGCCGTTGTCTTTGTATGGAGTTTTTTCTTACGTCCGGTAGGGGGCGCTGCTTCGTTTCCATGGAAACTTTGACGATGCGATACGATTACGGAGCTGTCAAGTTTGTGTTTGCGTCTCGGAATCCATCGTATTGTATGCAAGTTCGACATCTTACGACTTCAGATGACGGTTTAGAAAGGCCAAAGGGGAAGATCTTCCTCCGAGCTGGGTGATGGTAGCTCGGGCGCCGCGGCCCGTCTGATATTGGTCGGGCATTGTGTATATATGCAGTGTTAGCCTCCGAATTTCACTTGCGCGATGTAGGCTTCCATGCTTATTGTTCGCAGTGCCGGTAGCGCATTCTCTTGAAGAGGCGAGTGATTATTTCATGTGGGGCACGTAGATGTCGCCGCCGCAAAGGTTTTCTGGAATGACGGACGCCAGGTGGCAGCACTGAGACGAATAGTCTACTCATTCGTCAAATCGCATATAATGCGATTCAACTAAGAACAGGATCGACTGGGCGCCATATTTTGACGTCATATCTGTCAATTCAAACCAAATAGGTAGAGTGAGCAAAAAAGTGTTGCTATTTAATGAAACTTAATTACTAAGATTAAGTGAGAAAGAACAAAATCGATTTTTAATAGAATTTTTTTTATTAAGACTGTGTGAAAAAAAAACATTAATAAGAATCTAGCTCTTCAATTTCGCTCAACTCTGCATTACCGCCGGAGAAGTTATGAAAAATCATGCAGGTCACATACGAACATGCATCCTATATGTAAACGAAAGCTTTAAATCGAGTTTTTGAACGCAACATAAAGTGACATTTGGTGACGATTTAGGTTATCAACCATTCATAGCCAAAGCTAAATAAATGAAAAAAAAAGCAACTAATATTAATTATCAACATTTGTTATTGTTTGTTTAAATATGTTTGGTTTTTATTCTAGAATCAGCCGAGTGCTAAAAAAGTGTTCCGAGATTTTTTTGCAAACCGTACTTTTCAGGCGACATTTGACAGATGGAGGTCATTGGCTTTCCTATTCTTATTTGAATCGCATTATATATCGACATAGTCTATGGATCAATGAAGTAAATTGTCTCGTTCGATTAATGCGCGCCAAAAACTTGCGACCATGGTCATTGTTGGAGGATGCATGGTGTGCCACACTGGCTGTATATATTAGTAGTTTATGTAATCTGTCACACTAGGGGCTTGACACATTGTAAATATATACTTATTCAGTTAGAAAAAATATACAAAAGCATCAGTACGTGTGTGTTTCATTCTTAAGGGTTTACACCATAGTTTTCCATTGTTCTTTAAGAATGTGGCGAATATTGGAACTAACGCCGCCGGCTTTGTAAACGTCATATTTTGTATGTTATTTACGTAGACAGGGGCGCCCTCCTTGAGCTGTCACTCGCATTCATAAAGATCTTGGTCGCACTGTACAGTACCCCTAGCACGAACCAATATCGAATTCGTATCGTTTGCGAGTCCGAAATGTCATTGTCAAATATGTACTGATTTTTAGTTCTCGTTACGTACTTTGTGCCGCTGCTGTTCAAGTTTCCATACAAAATTTCACATTGACATTTCGGTTTGCAAACTATTCGAATTCGATAATGGTTCGTGCTAGGGGTACAGGTCGCGGTACGTAACTAACGCTGAACTGCACGCTGAGGGGCTAGCTGTCTGGACATGTCCGGACTTTTAGACTATATTCCGGACTTTGACCGGATTTTTTTTAAATTACTTTGAATATGAATAATAAACATATTGATTAAAATACCATACCATTGTAACTAAGTGAGTAATGGTACCGTTTCGTGACTAAAAGTCCGGACTTTTTTCGAAATGTCAGGAATTTTGAAATTCCTAAATGGCTACCCTACATGGGTACGACTGGAGAGACAATCGTCGCAACGCACGCCCACCCCGCGCACCTCGTTTTCCCCCAACACATCTTTATTTTTACGCGCGCGCAATAAATGTCCAAGCTAGAGCACGGTAATATTATCTATACGGTATTGTGACTCGGCCCTATCCTTAAAATAACTGCCTACGGCCGAGCGGGGCGTATCCACGCGGTAGGACTGCCCGCCTACAGTATTTTAATTTCATCTACTTTATCGAGTTTCTCTCTAGTTTTGTGAATGTAAATATTCAATTTTATATGTAAAAAAAAAGTTGTGAATGAATTAGGAAGTGTTCAATAAAAGACATGGTATTTTTATGTAATATTTAATAAAAAAAAATATGGACTTGAAACAGAAAAATATTTACGCCTCGACTAAGATGTACGAAAAGCTTTTTTATTAAATTTAATAGTATAATAAATACGCATTCGCATAAAAAGTTAAATTAAAAATACTTTAGGGAAACATTGGCAAGGAACAGAAAAGGGAATATCTTTAACTTGGTTATATATACCTGCAGCTACTTTACAATTGTTTTTTTTAAATGATGTCCGGAATATTTCCTTAATTTTTTCTACATATTTCAAGAAATCATTACTAGGTACTATTAAAAAAGTTAGTAAATTATCCTTACTATAGTGTAGGTATCTACTTAATTTAATCAAATATTCACAATACAAATCGCACGTTTAAAAACAATTGACACCGTTCGGTCATCGCTGCGGCGCATTCGCGACTGGATGCCCACCGGGTGCCGCGCGAACTCGAGTGGCGTAGGTATGACACGCTTTCCGAACGTTCGTATGAGGATAGAATACTGTTTAGATAATATTACCGTGGCTAGAGTTTCGTGCCGCGACTTATACAAAAAACCTCGTGTCACAGTGGCGCCAACTTGTGTCGTAAATTTTCTATCTTAATAATCTATTTTGTTGCAGGTACACGTGGTAGACAGTTCGTTTGGCGACGATTGGATGGAGTGAACCCTGCACTGCTCAGTATTGTAATTGCCATATAGTTAGTATCAACGTTGGGGCTTAATTCTGACACGATTCTCTAAAATTGAAATAGATTTAGACAACAGAGGTATTTAGACAACAGATTGAAATAAATTTAGACAACAGAGGTCCTTTCCATTCGGTATATAGCATGACAAGGATACAATGGACGGATTAACTACAACTTTTTTTTAAATCTAAAGGCTGGGCTATTGTAATGAACAGTAAGGAATTCATATTTTTAGTTTTGTGCATTAACAAAAAGTATACATCTTTTTTGTTATTAATTTGTATTTTTTTAAAAGCCCCCTTTTATTTCACTTAATATATACAGTTTAAACATTAAAATTGTGATAATTTTTAATTGCAAGTTTATTTGTTATGAAACATTTAGAACAATAGAAAAGGGTTTCTTTAATCGTTTAGTAAACATATCTAATAATATTATGTTTGCCTTGTAACTTTGTAGAAATAAAAAAATATCATATACCTTCATATATTTTTAAAATATACGGTTCCTTTATCATTAAAACCACATATGAAAGTACTTCAAAAACAAAATTATTTTTAGCCCAAAAATAATATGTCCTTTTGTTTTCATCTCTGTTTTGGGATAATACATACATTGTCAAATTTAATTGTAGGTTTAGAGAATCATGCCAGAATTGGTACAATTACATATTTAACAAATCTAAATATTATAATTTATATTTTTTATGCATGTAACTGATCTATGTTTTAAATCTAAAGAAATTAAAGGGCCACGGTAGCATAATGGTCAGAGCATTCGCCTCGATAGCGAAGGGTGCGGTTCGAGTCCCAATCTGCTGCCTGGTCCATGTGGAATTTTCTCCAGTAACATTTTCTTTAGATTTAAAAAATCAAAACGTTAAGAACGTGCAGCTCACCTAAGCAAATGTATTTTGGATCGCATGTTCGCCGAGTCATATTATCTTTCTTATCAACTTATTCTACATTAATTTCAATAACACGCATTTTATAATTTGAAGTATATTAATGGCTGAAATTCGAAAAGGCGTACGCTGAAATAATTAGTAATTCTTAAAATCTTGCTGACAGCAAATTAAGAAAAATAACTAACTTTCTGTGCAAATAACCAACAGTTTAAATCGTAAATTGAATTTAAGAGAATTATAATTAATGTATATTATATTATTTCTTAATTTTTTTAATGATTACGATTAGATTAAACATCAGCATCTGGCTTAAAGCATCTTTCAATCAGAATAGGGAAGATGACTAATTTTTTTTCTTCGTTTATCAGGTAGATTATCAAAAAGTATTGGACACGTATTTTTTCTTTTTTTCACATAATATAAACATTAATGTGAAATTTGAAAAGTCGCATGACGTCACGTTTTGGTACACTTTTAAAGTGAAAATTCACTAAAAAGTGACGTCACGAGCCCCTAACTTTGACGCGCTATAACTTTGTCATTTTTTAGTTGATTGCCCAAAGAAAAAATACGTGTCCATTATTTTTTGATCATCTAACTGATGAACTAAATAGAATTTCTTTTATTGTACCCCGTCATCACCCCTATTGGATTGTAATGTAGATTCTAGATGATAGCGACCAAATTAACATTTATTGATTAAATTAAAAAAATGCAATTTTGCAAGGGACTTGACTCTGGGCAAAAAATCTTCTAAGCAGTACTTTCTCCTTTAACGATATTAGCTGTTGAAAACATCAAGATGCCTTGTATTTTGTTCTAAAGTTAGAATTAAGAAAACCCATGTAAGTTAAACCTATTATAGCGTATATTAAAAATTGTATAATAACGAAAAATGATAATAAAAATTAGCATTAAAAATAAAGTACTTGTATATAAAATATACCTTCTATACGCAAAATTTTAATTTGAAAGCACAATGCCCAAAATAGGCTCGGGCGTGGACAAGGTGTTTGGCCAACAAGCATTTTACAATATTATTTTATTTATTTTTAACGAATTTCTGTAACCGTAAGAAAGTATAAAGTTTTATTAACTATACAATAAAATTGATTGAAAATAATACAAACACTTCCTCCTTTTTGTTTATTTCTATTTAATGTCACATGAATGAAATTGGCTGTGATCGGCTGAATTTACGTTAGCACCACGTCATGACAGCGAAAACGGCTGGGATTGACTCGGTCGAGATGTCATTTGCAGACAAGCTGTCAAAAGAACATTAGGTTTTTTTGTTTAAATTTTGGTAATATGATCATGACATCGCTACTGATGTTCATTCTCGATTTTATTGAATTGTGAAACAGATAATGTCTACGTAGTGTCTAGACATCGTATTGGTAATATATGACTTCGATGTTTTTTTGCTTAAATTACCTATTTTATTCGCGGTCCTAAAATGTATTTTAAAGTATACTGATACAAAGTTATAATTATTTTAAGGTTCTGGGTAGTTTAAGCTTCTTGCAATATAAAATTTACTTTTATGCTAGCGCGGCCCTGATGGCGTGTCGAATTTTCTCAAGCCTTTCTTAGGCTGCAAGACAGCGCCTTCAGCTGTAGATTTTTACTAGCAATTTTTTTTACATTTAAACATCTTGCAATTAAAAAAATATAAAGCTTTACTTGTTAAAACGTCTGTCCATGTTAAGCCAGACTAAGTGGGCATTGCCCTTTAATTCATATTATTGATTGGATATAATCATGGCATCTAAAACACTTAACATACATAATAAAAACTGTAGCACGAACCAATATCGAATTCGTAACGTTTGCGAGTCCGAAATATCATTGTCAAATGTGTACTGATTTTTAGTTCTCGTTACGTACCTTGTGGCGCTGCTGTTCAAGTTTCCATACAAAGTTGACAATGTCTTTTCGGATTCGCAAACTATTCGAATTCGATATTGGTTCGTGCTAAGGTTTATCGATAGCTCTGTTAATTAGATCTGTGTCTGTTTATTAAAGTCTGTTGCAATACAATTTTGAAAGTCTCTTTTTGCTGCGTCTCTTTTATAAAGACTTAGTAATTAAAAGCTTTTTACATATATACTAGCTGACCCAGCGAACTTCGTACCGCCCTAAAAAAATAGGGGTTGTCCAGCGGACAAAATTGTGAATCTAAACCATTCTCAGATCCCCTTGAACACACACAAAAAATTTCATCAAAATCGGTCCAGTCGTTTAAGAGAAGTTCGTGCCCCGGTCAATTACGTTAATTCCTGATAATAATTCGTAGCGTAATTCCTTAAAAAAAAAAGAATGTGCTTATGACCACACGACTGAAGTGAAACTTCTTTAGCTCCATATGTATGTATGTATATATATGTGTGTACAATATATACATGTATGTACATATACATATTTCTATTACTAGCTATAAAGAAAAAGAGAAAGAAAATGTGCGCGCGCACTGCTTTCTCTAGCTACTATCGCCACTTAAGTCCCGTTCGCCTCGACCGAACACACTTTTCGTAACGCGTAACGCATTCGCCAGCTTACCCCCCAAGTCAAGCGTGCGTAAAGAAGTTTCACTTCAAAAATAGGCGTAAAGTCTTTTGAAAATGTGATTTCGCGCCATATACGCATATTATGTAGAATAGTTATTACTTACCCTATCATTCATTATAAAATTAGTTACTAACAAAATATCACACGGTATCGGAAGAAATTTTATTTAAATTAAGAAAATATGATAAATACCTTATTTTTTTTATTTTTAAGTTAGTATTTACAAATATTATGATTAGGCAGCGAACAAAATTAGTCATAAATGTTATATTGCATCAAAATTTTATTAACACCTTTTATAAATTTAATATTTTAAAAAATATTGTCCAAAAAATATATATTGAAATTGTTGTCTCATTAACGTGTAGAATATATTAAATATATTAATAATGATTATATTGATTAATATAATTTATATTTAAGTTGAATAAATCTTATTACTGAATTTGTTCTAATTAATTGTTTTAACATAATTTATACAGATTAATCTATATTACCAAATTCCTAGCTGACCAAAAATGTACCTATTCGACATATACATTTCGCACGTCACAATCAATAGGGTATTAAGTCGGCAAAACCATTTATTTTTTTATTTGCGTTTCGGAAACTACATTTTTTTCTCTATAAACTGTTAAGAAAATTGTATTTTAATTCGAAATAGCTTTTGAATTATAGCAACACATGTCGTCAATTTCTAGGCAAAGTTTATGATTGTGAGTATTCTAAACAGTATTAAGTTCAGTTAATACCCTATTGCCCGTTCGGATTAATACAAGTTTGAAGTGTTATTTAAAATAATATCCTCTGGCCTGTTTTATTTTATTTATTTCAGCGAAATTATTTCAAAATGATAGTAGTTTTAATTTTAACATGAGCCATATGAACTGCTTATAGGCTATTCTCTTTACCCAGTCACATAAAAGTACTTTTAAAACAAAAACTAATATTGATACACTAACTAAACTTACTCAACACAAAGAAGGATAATGTACGTTCAAATCAAGGTATCATTTTAAACATTTGAACAAGTAGTTCCGCTTCTATGATTTTTTAAAACTTCAAAACGCGATATCTCAAAACACTGTTTTTGAAGATAATACCCTTTTGTTTGTGACGTGCGATTTGTTGTTCTGTCACGGTGAAGTTAGCCGTTAGGCTGCGCATTGATGAAGTTTATAAACATAACAATGTATTGCGCAGCCAAATCACTACCTTCAGACCGGTTGAGAATATCGGCCAATCTAGTCTGTGGTCACACGTTTTTATTAAACTGCAGGTACCTACATTATAAAAAATATGTGCGATTCAATACCGTGTGTGTAAGCTTTCAAACATTTTTCAATAAAGCACTGTGAATGCGAAAGCCTAATAATGCGTACAAATTTGAACTTTACTACACACACAGTTTTCAAATAACACAATGTTTTCACAATTTAGATTTTCTATTTGCACTAAACTCATTTTAAAATCACATAAGATGGTAAATAAATTTAGTAACGAATGTTTTAGCAAGTGAACACAACTCTGAAACACTTTCCGCCTTATTCCAAAACGTGGACTAGAGTTAGTCTTAGTTTAAACCTGATTTTGTCTCTGTCTGCTTTTCAGCAAACAAATTTGGCAGCATCAGTTTCAATCCAGGTTTAATTTTAATCTGAGTTTTGTTATAAGGCGGTTTATGCAATGACAATTGAGGCTGGCGAACAAAAGGGTATAATTACGCATATATTTTTGACCATATAATAGTTTATTTTTATAGCCTGGAGGTTTTGGGCCAGCTGAATTTGAATTTCAACTCATGTCAATCAAAACCGTCTAAATTATAATAGGGGAGCCCAAGCGGGGATTTTTGGATTTACTCGAGCGCGGCAGAATAACATATGGGGAGCAACCTGGCACCTAGTTAAGTACTACCACCAAACCTGAGCCCTCTATGTAAGGGCGAACGTCTAGCAGCAAAAACAAAATTTCAAAGAACGTTCATGACTTTTGGTCGCGGCCAAATTGTCAGTCTTTTGAATATAAGCTACTAGAGGGTTCATGTAACGTTTCTAAGAACGGAAAAAATGTTGTTCTGCCGCGGTTTGCATGATATGGGTATGTGTGTGGCCGTACGAATAAATAAATATAGGAAAAAATAACCGAGCGCGCCAGACGTTCAGAAGGGATGTTACGTGAACCCTCCAGTAGCTCCTATTCAAAAAACTGACGTTTTGGACCCGACCAAAATTCATGGCCGTTTGTTGAAATTTTGTTTTTGCTGCCCTAGACGTTCGGCCCTACATAGAGGGTTCAGGTACAGTGGGAGTACTTAACTACGTGCGAAGTTGCTCCCCATATGTTATTCTGCCGCGCTCGAGTAAATCCAAAAATCCCCGCTTGGGCTCCCCTACTATTAGTGTTAAAATTACTAACTTAAAAATCACGCCAAAAGCTCACTGTACGTATGTCCTTCAGTTTTTTTAATTTGATGTTATTATACCGTTTTGTTCGCCAGCTACTTACTCAATTATAACAACTACACATCTTTAAACTAGCACACGGCTGGACAGCAGGGCCGTAGTCACAGTTGTATTTATGATAGGGCAGCGGTAAATACAGGTAGGGCATTCGCAGCCTACCGCTCCGTACTAAGGTAGGGCAATGGTATTTTGCGGTAGGGCAATGGTAGTTTGCGGTAGGGCAATGGTAGTTTGCGGTAGGGCAATGGTATTTACAATGCCCCCCCCCCCCCCCCACCCTAGCTAAGAGCAAGCGCACATTGAGCCACTATTTTTTAAATATATCGTTTCTATTAATTTCTAAAATGTACCTAAAAGAGTTTTTCAAAATGAAACTGTCATAGAACTGTATCAATTTACTTTTAAGACAGGTGGAAGTTTAAATAAATGTTATATTGCATCAAAATTTTATTAACACCTTTCATAAATTTAATATTTTAAAAATATTGTCCAAAAAATATATATTGAAACTGTTGTCTTATTAACGTGTAGAATATTTAGATATATTAATAATTATTATATTGATTAATGTAATTAATATTTAATTTGAATAAATCTTATTAATTGTTTTAACACTTTTAACAATTGTTTTTTCAAAATGAAACTGTCATAGAACTATATCAATTTACTTTTAAGACAGGACAGGAAATTTTGTAACTTTTGAATGCTAACAAATTGTAGCTAAACATGAGGCCCCATTTATACATGTATACCATGTTTACAAGCAAATAAAGACATTATTATTATTACTAAACACGGCCACTAAAGGCTCAGTTAAGGCACTAGACGCAGCCACTAATCGAATCAAGAAAAATCGATTGGCTGCCACTAGTGGCTTAGTGACGACCACGCACTTGCTCTAAGGCTCTGCAGGATAGTTTTTTTAAAATCAACGTAAAATTTGGAGCCTATTGTGATGTTAACAATAGATATGTAGATTTCAAATAAAATAAATATTTCCAACATACATACACCAATTAGCCTATAGTAGAAGATCCGAACCTACATCGATCTTTACCGAGCTGGTAATAGAATGAAACATATTTTATCATGACTTTAGTATTTTACAAAATATATTACAATTGGATTGCCCAAAAAAATCCTGGACCGATTATTTTTAATTAACCTGTCCAGTCATTAGTTAGCCCAATTTAGATTTAAACATCTAGCAGTTAAATGCTTATAAAATAAAATCAATTATTTTTAATGTTAAAAATAATAGTTAGAAAAACAATATGTTGCAACATCAAGATAATAAGAAAATGATGTCTTGCCTTAAAGTATAAAACGTATAGAATATGCAGCCGTTGGGCAACGTAACTGGCATCGAAATACCTGTTTATACCTGGCAACCCAGTAGTTCACCTAGGTAAATAATAGACAACCCAAAAGCTGCACATTTTATATGTTTATACTGTTTTAAGTACATCATTTTCTTATTATCTTGATGTTGCAACATTAAATTCAATTTTTTTTTTAAATTAATTAAAAATCATCTGTCTAGGATTTTTTTACAACCCATTTTTAATATATTTTGTAATATACTAAATTCGTAATAAAAATTTTTCATCATCCTATTTTATCAGCTAGGTGAAGGTCGATGTAGGTTCGGATCTTAGGCCACTAGCCCCAAAGTAAGCACTGTAGGCTTATGTTATACTAGGGTGACAGATAGAATATATATAGTGATACATATATAAGTATTCTTTTTATGTATTTTTTTTTGTAAATTTAAAATAAATAAATCTTATGTCTTGTCGTCCGCCGGTGTGTACTGGCCGTTAGGTAATATGGAAAAACCACAGACATATAACTAGTAGCAGACGGAATATTCAGTTTTAAACAGCGTGGTAAATACACACACATTGAAACTCACCAAAGCATGGGCCGCATTTAGTATAGTAGAATAATGGATTTCATTATTGTTTCCTGAAATACCTATCCGAATAGATAGGTCCTAATGTGATCTCCATGCTAATAATATTATAAATGTAAAAATCTGTCTGTTTAATATCTTCATGGCGAATTTAACCAGGCGAAATCGCTGAACCGATAATGATGAAATTAAGCACAGAGATAGAATTAACCCAGGGAAAAGACATAGGTATAATTAGGAAAAAAGAAATAAAAATTTAAGGCATATTTTTTATCTATTTATTTTGAAATAATACAAGTTTTTTTGGAAAATTTCTCTGAGATACATTTGTTTCTTTACATTGATGTTTACATCTAAGATCAAAATAAAATTTGACAACAATTTTAATAAGCAAGTGGACATGGTTTATTTCATGATCTGCATTGTTCGAGTCAAATATTGAATAATCGACATAATCACATATAAATTTAATCAAACTATTAAAATCATTACTTTTGTTTATTTTAAAACAAAAAACACTTAAAACACTATAAGTATTTGGTTGCCAATCCTGACGTTTCATATATTTTATTTAACCATGCATTCCGAGTACTTTCATCCTTTGGAAACCTAGAACAAAATTGTTTATGTGGTTATTTGTGTTATATACCTACCGATGCCAATGTTCCAAGAAATATGAATAGCTAGTCTGTAATAGGTACCTATCTATTTACGTTCTTAATTGCATTCTCATTCAAAATAATATGCAATGCAAACAAAATTAATGTCGAGAAACTTTTTGTCTTTGATACCGAGTCCGTCCTCTGTTAAGGCAACAGTACTTCAGTTGTCAGAATTGGAATTTCCTATCATGATTTATCCTGATTACTTCTATTTCTTTATTTTTAGGTTATTAGTTTTCACCGGTAGTATCTTTGATAAATAATCCTACGTAAAAAATGTTACATGTTACGATAATATTTAAATAAGCTTCGAAAAGACTCAAAGACATTTCAGTACACAAAAAGACACATAAAAACTTGGGTGAAGCCAAACGAGCGTAATTTTGTGAGTTGTGAGTCGCTTATTTTTGGTCACTTATTTTACGTTCAACTGAATTTCTGTTGAGCTGCCATACGAACGTAATTTATTCAGTTACTATTGAGCGTTAGTACGGGGTGTTCGTGTCGTCGAGTGCAATGGATCCATTAAAAATATTGTGTATTTACGAAGCATATTCAGAAGATGTGGCCAGAAAAAGAAACTGGGTAAACCCACTGAATAGTCAGAGGCTGATATGTGGACAATTCCATACTTTATATGAACGTTTATGTGCAAATCCAGATATGTTTGAAAAGTACTATCATATGCCATTACGTGTTTTACAAGAATTATTACACCACGCAACTTGTAACAAACTGTTGCTTCCCCACTCTCCTTCCTTGCCCTACCCTCACCCCGACCGAAATTCGGACGAGCTTATGCACATTGAGTCGGCAGACAACTCATTTTGCGTTGTCGTGTGGCACCAACTGCCTTTTGGTATGAAACCGAATGCAGCAGAATTTCTGTGACCGAAATTCTGCGACTCACCACTCACAAAATTACGCTCGTTTGGCCTCACCCTTACTGATGAAACGTTAATCATGGTGTTCTATTGTAGGTAGCACTTTTACATCGATACGCACTATACTTGACCATAGTAATTAAATAATCTCGTTTTGTAATATAGTTTCATCAAAGCAATATTCTTAATAAACACCGAAAAGTCGCATGTCCGATAAGTCATGAATAAAATGGCGGCGAGAAATAAAAATTACACGCGTTGTTGACATTTGTTGATGTGTGAGTTAGTATTGCAATAGATGGAAGAATGAGATGCCACTATCGAGTTGTAGCTGAGTACAAAAAGGATAAAAGATCATGTTTTGATTTCTTAATTATAACTAGGTTTTATGTTCCGTCTGCTATAGTATTATATGTCTGTGGGAAAAACTCAGTTTTTTTTTATTGAACTGAATAAATTTCATGTAAGTAATTTAATGATGGTAGCACTGAAGTTACAGTAGATATCTTTTCGGAACCACTCTGTGTGCTTTTGTTTGAATGCACGGTACACTGTTGTGTGTAATCTGTAATTATTAATCTATAATATGTTTGTATTTATGTTGAAAATAAAACGAAACTCACTGATTGATGGCTTATTTTTATTTATTACAGTAGTGCCTTTGAATTAACTCAAAATAGATATTTGAGTAGCCAAATTCGCATAGAGCTGAAAATTCGTAGAGACGCCATTATAAATAAAATGTCAAAAAACCCCGTCGATCCTACTTTTGCAAAAAAAAAAACAAAAAAATCTATAGTTTTTGTCTAACCTATTATCTTATAGATATCGATAAGGATTACCATTTTTTTTAAAAAAGTGGAAAAAACTTAATACTGTATTTTTGACCTTGGATTTTTTTTTGTAGAAGTAGGATCGAAGGTGATTTTTGACATTTTATTTACAATGGTGTATTAAACGTTTCTACCAGTTTTTTAGCTCTATCTAAAGGGTTTAACTTTATTCGACGTTTTGTATAAGGCGGTGTTTTGATATTTTATTAAAAGAGGTAATTTTTTTTAGCAAAATTAAAAAAGTATGTACGTGTTCCTTTAAAGGAAGAAAATATGTTTTCACACAAAAAAAACATAGGTAAGCCAAAGAAATAATTTATTTATAAACATTCTTTTGCCTAGTTAGCTAATCTTTTACAAAACATACTTGTAACTAAGTAAAAAAAAATATTTAAAAAATTCAAACAATTTGTTCAACCCATCTTGTGACTAATTCTTCTAATATTCATCATGGAATGGGAAATCTGGATGCTCGACACTGAAAACAGAAAAAAATTGCCATTACTGCTAATCCGACGAGCTATATGGCGCAGGTGATAAGCGCATTCGGCTGCGATCGTTGAAGTTAAGCCACTGTCGCAGTGGTCGGTCAATGGATGGGTGACCAAAAAGTTTCATCTCGAGTTCCTTCGTACTTCGGAAGGCACGTTAAATATTTTTAATTTTTTTTAAGACTGCTTGGGCACGGCGGTTGTGTACTTTGTGGTAATAGGCAGGGGCGTATTTATTTACCCTTGGGCCAAAGGACCTTAGGGCCCGTGCCAGCAGGCGGCGAAAGGCGCCGCTGGGGCCAACTTTTGGCCACTATTTGTGGACTAAGAAATAAAAATTGAGCGGCGTTTTATAAGAGGCCTGGGTCGCCAATATTTATAAAATATGTCGCTGGTAAATAGGGTTATCAACTTTTTCTCTATCAAATATAGTATTTTAAAGCTGTAACATCTAAAAATATAGATGGCAAAATGATGAAAAAAATATAGTGTGTGGCTAATATATCTACTTTATTTTTAAAACTAGTGGCCCGCCCTCGCTTCGCTTCGGTGTAGAGCTGAAGTGTAGACTACAGTTTTTGTTCTCAGGCTTGTATTATACACAATGACATTCATCTATGATTCTTCTTATAGCTGCATGCAAAGTCTCAGTCCGATCGGTTTAAAATTGACAAAGTTTCATACAAACTTTCATTCCCTATTTTATCCTCTTGGGGGTAGAATTGATCAAAATCCTTTCTTAGCGGATGCCTACGTCATAACATCTACCTGCATGCCAAATTTCAGCCCGATCCGTCCAGTGGTTTGGGCTGTGCGTTGATAAATCACTATACTATGCCAGTCAGTCAGTCACCTTTGAGTTTTATATATAAAGATATATTTATATATTTTCAGCACTCACTCGCCCATGCTGCAGAGTCTACCATTGCACTCAAGCGCAGCTATCTGGTCCATATCATCTTGCGTCAGCTTGAAGTCGAATACGTCGAAGTTCTGCGCGATTCGCGTCTTGTGCACAGACTTCGGGATCACGATCATGCCGCGGTCGATCGCGTATCTGTGAAATAATATCAGACCTTCTTCACTTTTTCAACAATCTCGGAGTATTAACAGTTAGGACACGGACCTACCATATGAGATAGGAGATTAATAATAATAATAATAAATATTTCCAACACTCACACCAATTAGCCTAGCCCCAAAGTAAGCACTGTAAGGCTTGTGTTATGGGATGCTAGGGTAACGGATAGAATACATATACAGTATATATATAAGTATATTTATATAGAAATACATATTGAACATCCATGACTGGAGAACAAATGCTCGTATTCATCACACAAACATCTGCCCCCACCGGGATTCGAACCCGGGACCTCTCGAGTCGGCGACACCATGAAACCCGGCGTACAAACCACTCGGCCACGGAGGTCGTTGGGCAGGACAGGAGATTGGACAAAAGATCAATAAATAGACCATGGAGGTTGACGCGGCCTGGGGGCTATTCGCCTAACGGGATTGCTTTGGCCAACGCTAACGCTTACGATTTCATTTTGTCATTTCTAGCCGTCTGACGTTTTCAAATGCCTCGCGCTCTTTTTATTTCTTTTGCATTGGTAATAACAATATTAGAGAAAATGAGCGTGAGGTATTTGAAAACCTTCGGCGGTCAGAAATAACAAAATGAAATCGTAAGCGATAGCGTTTTCCTAAGCAATCCCGTTAGGCGAATGGCCCCCTGGAGGGGAGTTGGCATATACAGCTTTCCCGTCAGTCGCAAATTCGCAATGGGCATAGAGTCTGTGCGGAAAGAGAATGGGCGTGGCGAAAAACGGAACTAACATTAAGATTTTTATTTGGCAATCAAACCCAGCAATCTGTAAAACGTCAAAGTTTTGTATTAATACGGATTTGTTTGTTGTTGTGATTTCTTGCGGCAGTTTTGTATTTAGTCATGTCTAAAAGGGATAAAACCTTACAAATACGGTAGAAAAGCACTACAGCGCCCTCCAATCTAAATCCCATTCTCTTTCCGTTTTTGACCATATCTCAAAAGTTGGTTTTGTCATTTAGCCGCATTTTAGCTTGAGGACGGCAGATTAGAATAAAACAAAGGAGCGCGATACAATCACGTCTCTGTACAAGGCTTTGGCGCTAAAGTCCAGCCGAATACTTTTACCTAATATTCGGCTATTCGGTCAGGGGCCTCGCCGAATACTCGGTATTCGGTATACTGCCGAATATACTATTCGTTGCAAGTCTACCTAAAACAGTGTTAAAATTACTAAATTAATAATTTAAAAAACACGCCTAAATCTCACTGTAGATGTGTCAGTTACATTTTTACTGTTCCTGTAGTTATGCCGTTTTGTTTGCCTGCTCCTCAAATAGATGATGTAGAAATACTTACCTAATGAGGACTTGAGCACTGCTCTTCCCGTGTCTATCAGCTATACGTTTGATAGTGGGCTCGTCCATGAGCGAGGGGTCTCCAGGCTTGGCCCACGGGCGGTCGGGGGATCCCAGCGGGGAATACCCTGTGACTGTCACGCCGATACTACGGCAGTACTGCAGCATCTTGCGTTGATTGAGGTACGGGTGTGATTCGATCTGGCGGATGGCAGGGTTGTTTTAATTGAGTAAATTAAGATTTAAAAGAGTGTATAAGTGTCGCCGCACACGGGCCACACGCCACAGCCACAAACGCCGCCACGAGAAGCTAGAAGCGACTACTAAAGTAGCTGAAGCGCAGTGTTACCAACCCTTACCAAAAATTTCCCCTAAGTATTTTTTAAATTCCCCTAAAAACCCCTAAATTAGAATTTATATGTACCTACTTATTACTTTTCATCCCACCACCTCGGAAAGTGTAATTTTGCGCTTCGAAATCTGGCTGGAAAATTCTATTTTATTCGCTTGAGCGGCAAAGTAGATTTGAATTTAGAACATCACATATAATGAGTACTCAATATAATTGTAAATTCAAAACGTCATTAAACCTATTTAATGTAACCTCTATGGTGCCAAATTTATGATTAGAACTTTTTAAATTGTGAAAAAATTTAAATTTGGAACCTTCTTGGTTTCTTTGTTTTATTTGCGTGCTTCGCGCCATTCTAGTTTTTCACGTTTTATTGCTTAATATAATTAACATAACCTAAAAACTGTACAAAAAAATCAACTAAAATGAGTGACATTAGCGACGATGAAGTTTATCTAACGCCAACTGAGTTAACTGAAACAGTTAATAATGCGCAAATGAGCCTTCTCCCTCAGCAATCACGAGAGAAGTATTTGAAACAGTACGATATATTTAACATGTGGCGACTAGCTAAAGGAGCAAAAACTTTCTCCGAAAACGTTTTGCTGGCATATTTTATAGAATTATCTGAGACCAAGAAAGCAAGCACGCTATGGAGTACGTATTCAATGCTAAAATTAACAATTAAGATGAAGAAAGACGTTCATATCGACACCTATCATAAATTAGTGGCATTTTTAAAAAGAGCCTCATCTGGTTATAAACCAAAAAAATCGAAGGTTTTCACAGCATCTGAAATTGCAAAGTTTATTAATGAAGCACCTGATTCCGTATATTTAGCGGCAAAAGTAAGTCAATACGTGTAATTTTTTGTTGTTGATAAAATTGTACATAGTACTTACAATATTTTTAATTTGATTAATTTATTTACGATTATAAATACTTCTTTTGTTACAGGTTGTTCTTATTATTGGTATAACCGGAGCATGTCGAACAAATGAACTTACACTACTTAATGTCAATAACGTATCAAAATATTCTCATAATTCTGATGAATTGCTATTAATTAATGTACTAAATACCAAGACAAAAAAAGACCGCAACTTCGTTATTCGCAAGGAATATGTAAACATTGTTCAGAAATATCAAGCTTTACGTCCTTCTAACACCCCAATTGAACGATTTTTTCTACAATATCGCAACGGAAAGTGTATCCGACAACCTATGGGTCAGAATAAAATTGGCAGTATTCCACGAGAAATAGCAACTTTTCTCGGACTTTTAGAACCCCCGTTATACACCGGTCACTGTTTTAGAAGAACCTCAGCCACACTTTTGGCCGAATCAGGGGCTGATCTTCTATCGCTTAAGCGCCATGGAGGCTGGAAGTCTAATTCGGTTGTAGAGGGATACATAGAGGATTCAATCCAAAGTAAATCAAAAATTTGTAATAGTATCGTGGAGGCCATAACGCTGAAAGAACCTCTGTCAGATTCTTGGTCTCGCCCTTCTACATCTAAAATGAGCCCCCATAAGATTGGAAACAATAGCCCTCTCTCGCCAACATTTACGCCAATAGAATCCAATGAATCGGCACAACTATTTAAAATTACTGATACGAGTAGTTTACCACAAAACAGCGCACAATTCACAAACACCAACATAACATTACCTAACAAAAATATTAAACTTAACATAAGTAACTGTAGCAACGTTACATTTAATATTTCTTAATTATTTTCTACTTCTTATTATTTTCTTCAATTTATAGATTATCTTAATGTGTTTTAATTGAAATAAAAATATTTTGTCATTATAAATTGTTTTCTTTTTCATTTTGTCATTTCCTCGCTGAGGTGGGATGAAAAGTTACGTATTGCACTCGAGTGGAAAGATTTTTCACCTTGTGCTCGTTTGTTTCCCTCGCTGACGCTCAGGATTCTAATTTAAAATCACTCGCTGCGCTCGTGATTCAACTTTAGAATCCTTCGCTTGCTCGGTCATCCAAATCGAGCACGCGGTTAAAAAGGAACTTTCCACTCTTGTATAATAAATAACTATTAAATCGTTCGTTGCTCATAAATTAAAACCTTACATATTTAGTTACAGTTAATTATTTTATTGAATAAATACAGTTTCCGAAGGGAAAATCAAACGAAAATGAGCTGACAGGCTATTAAATCTTATTTAGCTGTTTTGATTGGTGGCAAAAACATGATTGTTATGTTGTTGTTTTATTATTTTATCCATTGGTGATAGGCAAAAAACTTTAGTCCATACAGCCTTAGGAAATAACCCGCCACACAGTCAGTCCAGTCGTTTCATATCGTGGTGCGTTCCATTCTACACACAAAACTGAAAGAAAATACACGCTTTGTTTTTCGATTTAATTGCAGGTTTTGTTAAAAGCCCCTAAAAGAATCCCCAAAAAATTCCAGCTCCAAAAAAAGTCCGTTTTAACACTTTTAGCCCCTAAATCTGGGGGCAAAACCCCTAAGTTGGGAACCGTGCTGAAGCGCGCGACAGCGGCTGACTAAGGTAAGGGGGAGAGGGGTGGGGAATCGCGCGAGTGACGTGTGGCGGCGTTTTGTATCGGCGCATTAAGTGGCCGGTGCGGGCCACAAGAAGCGAGCAACGACGATTTGTAGCGTGTGGCGGCCACCGGCGTACCGTGTGTGGCAAGTCCATATAAAATGTATGAAAACTACAAGAAATATGCCGGTGGCGGCGTTCTGTGGTTGTGATCGGTGGCCCGTGTGCGGTGACACTATGAAAACATTTAATTTCTAAGCTACTAATTAACAGAAGCCAATTCGATTCAACGTTTTATTGCAGACCGTAATGGAGATACAAAGGTGGTAATTTTAACAGATAAAAAGCGGTCAAGTGCGGGTCGGGCTCGCCCATGGAGGGTTCCGTAGCAACAAGTAATTATGACGTATTAAGAAAAAACTACTGAATAGATCTCGTTCAAGCTAATTTTCGGTGGAAGTTTGCATGGTATTAAATAAAATATATGATGTACATCATATATTTTATTTAATTTTATCATTCTCTTAGGGGGCGTCCATAAATTACGTGAGGTGTTTTTTGAATTTTCTGTCCCTCCCTCCCCCCCTGGTGAGATGTCGTGAGATTTTTTCAACCCCCTCCCCCAACCCCCAATCTCACGAGAAATTTTTCAAAATGTGGGTTTCTTACTTAAATGCGTTGGATTGTTATTGTTAAAAGAAAAAAAAAATGCTTCGTGCTTTTATTTACGACTAGTTAAGACTAGTAATCAATATTGCTGAGAGTTATTTCTTTCGAACGAAATAGTGAATGATCTTAATCGTATTACGATTACGCTTAAGGTTAAATTTTAAGCATGTACAATCTGGATTAAATGGACCAAAATAGTAGGTATATCTTTTTGGTTTCAATCAGAAAAAAAAATTGCGTGATATTTGACTCGACCCCCCCCCCTCTCTCCAACGTAAGATTAGATGAGATTTGACTCGACCCCCTCCCTCCCTTAAACATCTCACGTATTTATGGACGCCCCCTTATTTTAGAAGTTACAGGGGAGGGGGAGGAATATTAATTCATGCTAAGGGTAGGTACTGTACCCTTAGCACGAACCAAGATCGAATTCAACAAAATTCAACGAATTCGTAACCTTTACGAGTCCGAAATGTCATTGTTTGGAATGGATTTTTTTGTATGGAAACTTGAACTGCAGCGCCACAACGGACGTAACAAGAACTAAAAATTGTAACGAAAACTGTATCTTGCTTTCAATACCTAATTAGTTTCTCTAGTGCTACTTTTAACTAAAGCTCGGAGTGACAGCTAGTACCTATTAGGTACCTGAAAATCAAATATATCAGTGGTAAATTCTAGTTTTGACTAGTTATTTCTAGTTTTAACAAAGGTATTTAATTACAACTAATTTTAACTTGGCAAAACGCGTTCTATCTATAACCGGGTTTTAGCCGTAACATATATAAATATACTTATAAATGTACAGTATGTATTCTATCCGTTACCCTAGTATCCCATAACACAAGAGACACAGTGTGGACATAGTGTTTCATGTAATTTGTTATTTGATGGGTGTTACTGACTTTTTGTAACAGTAATATAGTACCTATCTAATGCCGCTTCCTATATACTAAATATAAAATTTATTTTAACTATATATCTATATCCTAAATAATGTAATGGAAGGTGACTTCAGAAGTATCCCTGAAGTCATTTTTCAACTTGACGACTCTGTATATATCAATACAGGGAGAAAAAAGCAGCCCTTGCTGAGTTTCTTGCCGGTTCTTCTCAGTACAAGGTCTCCCGCCGTAGTTTTGCGAACCGATGACGTAGCTTCTTGACCTTCACAAGTGCTTGTAACAGCCTAGACTGAATGAATGACTTTTCATTCATTTCATTCATTCATTCATTTCATTAATTCAAGCCTACAGTGCTTACTTTGGGGCTAGGCTAATTGGTGTGTGTTAAAAAAATACCTGAAGGACTGCAGGTTTTATCTTAGCTGCAGCCAGGACCTTCTCAATCTGCCGTCTATTAAAGTTGGACAAGCCGATGCTCCGGACCAGACCCTTGGCCACCAGCTGCTCCATGGCCTTCCACGTGTCCACGAAGTCTGTCTCGCTGGGGATCTCTTTCCCGTTTTCATCTTTAGGGTTCAGGTCGTCTCCCTCCTGCAATAAATTGAATAAGATGAAACTATCACAGAATGTAACATCATCACAGTCTATTAATGTCCTTACTGCTGGGGCACAAGCCTTCCTTATGGAGGGAATAGGGAGATTGGGCCATGACCATGACCCACCACGCGGGCATAGTGCAGATTGGTGGGTGCTAACGACTGCAGATGCAGCCGGGACCAATGGCTTAACGTGCCCTCCGAAGCACAAAGGAGCTCGAGATAGTAAATTTTTGGTCACCCATCCAATGACCGATCACTGCGAAAGTTGCTTACCTTCAACGATCGCAGCCGATCGCGCTAACCACTGACGCCATTGAGCTCCTCAATTCTTGTGACCGTGACCCACCACGCGGGCCCAGTGCGGATTGGTAGGTGCGTGTACGGACCAACGGCTTAACCTACCTTCCGATTCCGAAGCACGGAGGAGCTCGATAAATAAATTTTTTGGTCACCCATCCAATGACCGATCGATGCGAAAGTTGCAAAGAGCACCTCTAAATGTAACAGTTATGCAATAATGTAATTATTCTATTGTACAAGTTCATACGGCTGCACTGAGAGAAGTAAATTAACTTTTTTTTAATTTGATTTAATTTTATGCTGTCTATGTCTTTGCAATAAAAAAAGTGTTGAGAACAGCGCATTTTGATTATAAAATGTATATAGATTTAAGTAAAACGTGTACAAATAAAGCATAGTTACAAAGTCTATTTATTTCCCCTAGGCTAAGAATTTTATTATATTAAAAGATAAGTAGAAATAAGTTAATTTGATTAAATGATTGAGAAAAAGGTAACATTATTTTCCCCACAAAATAAGAATGTTAGGTACTACCGGAGAATACTCGGGCCATACCGTAAAGAGGCCGCCCGGTAGTACCGGCGAATTCTCGGGTTATACCGTAAGGAAAGCCGCATAGTTAAAAAATAGGACAGTTTGTAATTTATTAGTGAGATATTGTAGATTTAGGCAAATACTAATACTTTATACTCACAAACTTTCGTCTTTATAATATTAGTGTGATGATAGAGGGATCAAAATGTGAGTGGACGTTGTATTGGTAGCGACATGAGATTATGTAAATGAAGAAGAAGAAGAAAATAAAGTAATATATTTTATTGACCATAAACAGTATTGTTAACATAAATAAAAACAATAAAAAAAATTGGCCAACTAGGTCCCTGCCTCAGCTTTGATACTACAGCAACACCTGCAGCGCTAATGATTCTGGCAGGGCCTAAGGTTGATGACACAGATTGTTATTTTTAAACAATAGTAAAATTAACAACCATACCAATGTACACAATTGTAAATGTTGCTACTTCTATTTAATGCTGATGAGTTCCTTGTGCTCATTCTTCAAAAATATTGGACGATTCAAAAGATAATTTTTATTAACTCAATTTGATTTAGGGTATTTGACAAGTTTTAGAAAACGATCTCACGTTATTGACTGATGTTTAAGGAGTCCGTAAAAAGGATATTCATCATTCTGTTGCGTATTTCAGTAAAAATAACCAAATCAAAAACTCCATTTTCAAGTTGCCGCGAAACTGGACAATATGGCGTCTTACTAGTGTGTGACGTCACACGACTGTTATTAAAACGTCAAACGATACAACGCAATGTCACTTTTTTCTTTTTTTTTTTTTTAATGGCACGACACGATTTGTGCATTGCCAGTGTCAAAGGTAGGGAAACATTAGTAGGAAATTTTTGCATTTTGGATCGGAATTTAGAGGATAGGATCAGGAGACAGAATTGGTATATTTATATAAATATACATACATAAAATACGAATAGAGATGATTACACTCTAATATTATTTAACATTATGAAAGATGCTATACATTTATAAATCTGTAAATTATTAGAGAAGAGTAGGGTTATTACGGATGTTGGAAAAGGAACATCTAAAGAAATGAGGCCATTTAAAAAAATATATCGATTGTATAGAGGGCAGGAAAACAGGATGTGGTTAAGATCCCCTGTGTCCATTCCGCACCCGCAAGCAGGATCGCTGACAATTCCAAGCTTAGAGAGATGTGCTGGTGTAGTAACATGTCCAAGTCTCATGTGCGTTAATATGCTAGTAGCAGTCTTACCAAGTTTAGCTTTACGAAACCATGGCTTTAAAGGAATAGTAGGTTGTATTGTAAAATAGTATTTTCCTTTTATTTGTGCACTACTTGTCCAACTTGTAAGCCATTCACTTCGCAAATCGCACAATGGTAGAGATAGCAAGTCCTGGCTATAACATTTATAAGGAACCACGTCACCACAATGCACTGCCTCTTTGGCTAACTGGTCGGATTTTTCATTTCCCTGAATTCCACTGTGACTCGGGAGCCATGCAAACTCTACCATGTATCCCATTTTCATGAATTTATTTAGAAAATTCCTTATCTCAAATATTACAGGAAAATATGATTTAGTACGGAAAGGGAATTTATTTAGGGCTTGAAGAGCACTCATTGAATCGGAAAATATTACAGTTTTTCGCAGTTTCATAACAAAGATATATTCAACAGCCTTTAATAAACCAACACATTCTCCGGTAAAAACAGATGTCTCCGGAGGAAGTTTAGTTTTTTGGACAATAGAAAACTGAGAGTGGAATACTCCTACACCTGTACACTCAGACGGAGAGGACTTAGAAGCATCAGTGAATATATGATGAAAGTCGTCATATTCAGTATCTATAATTGATTTGAAGGTTATACTTGGGTGTGCATGGTTTTTATCAATTAAATCATATTGAATAGTTGGTGCTATTTCTAAGGCATCATAATCAATAGTAAAAATGGGAAGATGGTTTGATCGGTGTATAGGTGATTGTATACTTATATACTTTCGATAACTAACTATCAAACATGGGAGAGATTTATGTGCCCAGTAACTTGCTGATGTTATTTCTTCATTCAAAGAACAAAGTAGATTTATAAGAGGATGGTTGGAAAATTGAAGTAAACGGAATAGATATCTGTCAGCAAGAAGTTGTCGTCTAATGTTAAGTGGGGGTTCACAAGTTTCAATTTGCAATGCATTAATTGGGCTGGATCTCATAGCACCAGTTATTATTCGTAACGCTTTCGACTGAACGTTATCTAGCTTTTTCAGTGCAGTAGAATTGGCAGGTTCTAGGAGAAAACTTCCGTAGTCCAGTACACTTCGGATTAATGCATTATACACTAGTTTTAGGGATTGCGGATGGGCCCCCCACCAAACTCCTGAAAGACATCGGAGAAGATTTAAAAGTCGTTCAGTTTTACTTATAATAAAATCACAATGTGCACTACCGGTAAGTTTGGAATCCAACACGACTCCCAGAAATTTTACTTGGGGTTCAATGGGAATTAATATATTATTATAATAAATTCTAACGGGAGGGGGATTCTTCTTTCGTGAGAATATTACAATAGTACTCTTTGAAGCAGATAATTCTAGACCGTTATCGTTCATCCAAGAACTCAAAGAACGTAAAGCTGAGTTAATATGCAAAGAAGAATTATCTATGTGACGGTTTGTAGAATAAATCAATAGATCATCAGCGTATTGCAACAACTTAATATTATTTTCAAATAAAGTGTCAAAATCGTGAGTATATACACTGTAAAGTAAAGGACTAAGAACTGATCCCTGGGGCAAGCCTCTCCATACAGTTCTTTGTATTTCAAGACTATTCGGTAAGCTAATTATTAATTTTCGTTCGGCTAGTATATTCATAATAAAATTTGTTAACATTTGAGGAACCTCTAGTATCTCTAGTTTACTTTTCAAAACTGATAATAATACGTGATCATATGCAGAATTTATATCCAAAAATGCTGCTACTACGGATTCGTTATATGTGAAAGCCAGACGAATGTCAGTTGATAAAATACTTAAATTGTCCATTGTACTTTTTCCTTTTCTGAATCCGTATTGTGTTTTGGATAGCATGCCTCTGCTTTCTAAATACCATTCAAGGCGATTTTTTATCAAATTTCAGCTAGTTTAATTAAAACAGTTGCTAAAACTATTGGACGTTATGAAGATGCATGTGACGGTGGTTTATTAGGTTTGAGTATGGGCAACACTATTTGTGACTTCCATGACAGAGGTATGTCACCTGTTATCATGATAGTGTTGATAAGTTGCAAGTAATAGGTTAAGATGTTATCACTAACATTTGCGAAAAACGAATACGGAATTCCGTCTGCCCCAGGGGCAGAATCTTTATAGTCGAAAACAGCACACTTAAGTTCTTGAAGGGAGAAAGGACGATTCAATCCAGAGCTACTACTCAATTGTAAAACCTGTGAAGTGTTGAGCATGGGAATGGGAGTCCACGGTGGGGCCAATTTGTCCATATAATCGTTAACTATTGCAGGAGGCATAGTGACAGGAGAGGAAGTATTATAGGCGGATTTAAATCTTTTTATGTTACGCCAGACCAGGGTAGCGGGCGTGTCTGGTGAAATAGAACTGCAAAAATTTCTCCAGCTTTCGAATTTTTTCTTTTTAAATAATTTTTTAGTTTCTGCAACTACTTTACTTAAGTTATCATAGTTAAATTCTGTCATATTAGTATTGTACATGATGTCCCACCAAGGAGGAGATGGTATTTTCATGTGGGTGTTATTTTTAATAGGAAACAATTCTATGGCAGCTTCATTTAAAATACTAGCTAATGCCTCTGCACAACTGTTTTCATTACCGGGAGTGATAATAGGGAGAGATGATAATTTATTTTCAACAGAAGATTTGTACTTATTCCAGTCATTAGATTTTTTATCTGGTAAATTATATCTTCTTGTGGTTTTCCATCTAAAGTTATGAGGCTTTTTAAAGGGTAAAGATATAATAATAGGAAAATGGTCACTTCCATATGCAGAAGGAAGAGTATGCCAAGATAAGGAAGAAGCTAGATTTGTAGTACAGATTGATAAGTCCACAGCACTTGCATTAAGGTTAGGACTGGTGAGGCGAGTGGGGGAACCTGTATTCAAAAAGCATAAGTTATGTGATTCCATTATATCTAACAAATTTTCACCATAATTGTTAGTAACTGTACATCCCCATGCTTGATGGTGACAGTTAAAATCTCCTAGTACTAGAAAGGGTTTAGGGAGAGATGAAAACATGTTATTTATTTCATTAAAAATTGGAGATGATGGGCGAGATAAATAAATAGATACTAAACATATGTTATGAACTTTCACTGCAATCATTGAAATTTCTTCACTATGTCTTATTAAGGTAATGGGTTCATAAATAACACCATTTTTAATTAGAATGGCTACTCCACCATAGCCATCCATTCTATCTTCTCTAATAGTATGATAACCATTAATTTTAAAATTTCTTTGAGATGTAAGCCATGTTTCAGACAAGGCTAAAACAGAAGGCTCAAATTTATTTATTAAATGAATAATTTCATTTTTTTGCTTAGGGCACTACGGCAGTTCCACTGTATTATCTTGTCTGTTTGTCTGTCCATTGATGAATTGAATGTTATTTTTAGTAATCTGAGCAGCGTTGGACGGTGGAAGGATATTGAATTGAGTAAACACATTGAAGAGAGCATTAATAAAATCAGGAGGGAGTTGATTCACTGAGGATGTTCTGTCATCACTTGTACTAAGACCACAGCCATTGTTAGGGGTAGGAATTGCAAATTCCTTCAATATAGTATTATGGGCTTTGAAAATGCAGGCATATTACGCGGTTTCTTAAAAATAGTTTTTTTATAAGATGTTGTGTGGTTTATGTTACTATTAGATAAATTACTAATCATAGGTTCATTTACTATTTTTGTGGAAGGGGTCATTAAAGTATCAGCATAGGACCTAGATATGGGTGGAAGTAATTTTGATGCTTCTGCATATGATACACAGTTTTGTGCCATGTATAATTTTATTTGGGATTGCCTAACATATTCCGGACAGGATTTATTATTGGCGTAGTGATGCCCATCACACCAGCAGCAGAGCGCATCTTCCTCTGTGATATTGCATGAGTCACCTGTATGATTTTGACCACATTTAAAACATCTAGGTTTAGATCTACATTGAACTTTAGTATGTCCGAAACGGCAGCAGTGATAACATTGGATTGTAGGAAATATATACAGATCCACATTGAGTGCATTGTAACACATGAAAATTCGTTTTGGTAAAATTTGGCCATCAAAGGTTAAAACTATAGTTTGGGATGGCTTCCAGGTAGGAGTTCCATCTACAAAGGATTTATAATTTAGTCTCCTTACTTTCAGAATTTCACCACAACCTATGGGAACAGAAATATTACTTTTAACTTCCTCCAGAGACCACTCTGCAGGGACACCTCTAACCAAACCCATTCGTGTAATGTTAAATGTTGGAATATATGATTTTAAATTATTTTTTGACCAACTACTATGATTGATGAAATTATTTGCATCAGTAAATTTTGAGAACGAAACTTGCATTTTATTTCGCCCAATCTTTTTTACACTTTTTTTTTTGATGAATCTTGCTCTCTCTGTACATGCACTACAAAAGGTGAAGCATCGGTTTTGTCATAAAACTTCCTACCTATAGGAATCAGTACTGGGGAGGGTATGGACACAGGAGAAGTTTTAGAGTCATTGACACTCAGGCTATTTGATTCTTGTTGGACTGGCGTTGCGGTGGATTCATAGCAACTGCAATCTGTAACTTTAGGTTCTGACGAGGAATGTTTGCGCCTTTTTTTGTTGCAATGTTTGCAAACATGGAGCCGGCTCCGTTTTAATGTGCGACTGGACATGGAACCATCTGTTTCCATACCAGATTCATTATTTGAAGTATTGGTAACAAAATTACTAGCCGGGGGGACACATCCCCCCGGCTCCGGGGGGACGTTCATACAACTATAAGATAATAATCAAATTTTGACTTACCAAGGCAGCAGGGACAATAAATAAAGAAATACACTAAATATATATACAATATTAATAAACAAACCTTTCCGCTGATCACTATTTTAACTTCTATTATGTAAATATTTTCAGATGCCAAAAGAACGCGTCCGCCAAGTTGGAAGTTTCCCGCGCTTTTTTCCAATGTCACTTTAACCGGAAGTTTACTTGCGTGTGACGTCATTTTAGGCTCCGCCAATCCCAAGCGTTTTGGGTCACGTGACAATAGATAAGAAAACTATTATCTTTTTCCTGAGTTTTTAGTAAAATGATGTATATTTTTTTTTATAAAAATAGTAAAATTCTCTGCCAATATTCATTCTAAACACATAATTATGCTAACAATTGGCACTTCATTTTTATTACTGTCACTTCACTTCACTGCTATTATGAGGGGATATTAAAGATAGGCTGATTATGACTACAAGTAAAACTGTGTTTATGAATCCGCTCCAACAATATCTCCTCAGTTGCCAACCTTGTATCCCTGCGGCCAGTGAATGAGGTACAGGTCCAGGTATTCCAGCTGCAGGTCTTTCAGGGTCTGCCGCGCCGCCTGCTCCACCAGGTCAGGTCTGTGGTGGGTGCACCACAGCTTCGAGGTGATGAACAGGTCTTTCCTGTAAAGTTATGTCTTAGTTCTAAAACAAACTTATGTTGAGGGACCGGTTTTGAGGCAGGGTAGCATAGATAATACTGGGTCCATCTCTTTAAATCCTTAGATTAATTCTAAAGAAAAGATTTTAATAGAAAAATATCCACGCGGACCAGGCAGCAAACAGGACTCGAACCCGCACCCTTCGCAATCCGGGCGAATGCACTGACCAATTATGCTACCGCGGCTCTGATGGCCGCGTCGAAATTTTCCTATCCTTAAAGCTGCAAGGCAGCGCCATCTCTTCACATTGTAGGTAACCCACAATGTCAAATGAATACTTTTTCAAGTATTAAACATTTGCATTTATAAGTATGTTTTTTATTATTTTATAAGCATTTAACTGCTAGATGTTTAAATATAAAGAAAAGTTTTTAATAGAAAAAAAGATTAAAACAAAAAAGGGTAGATACGGTACGCTCATACTAGCATCAAATAAAATATGATCTTACTCAACTACATAAGCAACTGTCACACACGCACACATCTGTATATAAACATTCAGTTGAGACAGAACTGTACCCCTAGCACGAACCATTATCGAATTCGAATAGTTTGCAAACCGAAATGTCAATGTCAAATTTTGTATGGAAACTTGAACAGCAGGGGCACAAAGTACGTAACGAGAACTAAAAATCAGTACATATTTGACGTTGACATTTCGGACTCGCAAACTATTCGAATTCGATAATGGTTCGTGCTAGGGGTACAGTGCATCTATACCGTTGAAGCATATTTTATTTAATGAGTGGTGTGCGTCAAAACCTAAGAAACAAATATAATATCAAAAGTAACTTAGCAACTAACTGCTAGATGTTGAAATCTAAAGAAAAGTTTTACTAGAAAAAAAAGGGTTACCTACAATGCGAAGAGATGGCGCTGCCTTGCAGCTTAAGGCTAGGAAAATTTCGACGCGGCCATCAGGGCCGTGGTAGCTTAATGAGGGCTACCGTTTTCTGCCTCACCAGATGGCGCCACTGTTGAGTGAGGTCCTAAATTGTAACTTTTAAAGTTTATTAATACGCACATGAAATCAAAGGTTACATTAAGATCGTATTTTAACACAAAAGAACCATATCCTAAACATAATAGGCCATGCCACAGTGACGCGCAGTTCAGTTTTATTCGGAAAAAATGGGAACATAATCATTTTTCTAAGCTCAAATTTTTAATAACTGACATTCATTGCCACATAACTCATATTTGCCATAATTAAGCCGAATTGTTACCAATTATTCACAAAATTATTTTAATTAGAAATAAACCCGCGTAGTCAACCAACAAGCAATAACATTTGACATTTCGGAGACCTCACGCTACACTAGCGCCTCTAGCGGCGGATTCATACGCGATAGCCCTCATTGGTCAGTGCATTCGCCCGGATAGCGAAGGATGCGGGTTCGAGTCCCGTCCGCTGCCTGGTCCGCGTGGATATTTTTATAGTAAAACTTTTCTTTAGATTTAAACTTTTCGGTAGTTTCCGCAACATAGTTGTGACATTTGGGTATATATATATATATGTATGATGTCATATTTATGGAATTTTGCATGTTCAATTAATTAAGCTGTTATTATATAAGTATTTAAGTAAGTAAAATTTCAAGATAAAGATAGTTAATTATTATGCAAAATTACAAGCAATTGTCACTCAAATACAATTAATGATTATATTAACACAGCAATCAACATACAAAAATATGTCATTAAAATTGTAGTCTCTAGATTTCGCCAATTAATAGATATATTATTACAATCTTTCAAGTATATATCAACCTTGAAGTGTGGCTATTTCAAGCACTAGATAGGTAGTTATAAAATCTCATTAAAATGTTTTTTTTTTGATATTATTAATATTTGGAATTACATATAGATTATTTACAATTTGAATATCTATATTGTATTAATTAACTTGTGAATTCCTGCCTTGCTATAATCAATATCAATAATCAAAATCATTTATTCAGTTTAGGCTGTTACAAGCTTATATGAATGTCTAGAAGCTACGCCATCGGTTCGTAAATCTACGGCGGAAGACCTTGTACTGAGAAGAACCGGCAAGAAACTCAGCAAGGGCTGTTTTTTTCTCCCTGTTTTATCATTTACAGTGTCGTCAAGTTGAAAAATGACTTCAGAGATGATTCATGAAGTCACCTTTCATTACGTAGTTGCTACTTACCTAATGTGTGTTTTTCCTAATCAAAGCAAAGATTACCTATACTCATTGTATCAGAGATCGTTATCTAGAGGTACACAAATCTCGTTTAAAATAGACTTTCTCTTTAAAGTGAAATAGTAGATCAAACCCATAACTTTAACACGAGATTTAAGAACAAGCTTGCCGTTCCATGTTTCAGACTCCAAAAATCAAGAGGTTCATTTCTGGGTTGTAGTATTGCATTGTTTAATAAAGTTCCCCTAGATCTGATTGAGCTTCCACTGACTAAATTTAAATCTCAGATCAAAAATACTCTTATGAATAAGGGCTATTATAAAGTTGATGATTATCTAAATGATCGTAATGCATGGACATAGTGTTTCTTATAATTTGATATTAAATGGGTATTAGTCATTTTTCATAACAGTAATATTGTACCTATCTAGTGCCGCTTCCTATATACTACTTAAAATGTTAACTATAAAATTAATTGTAACTATATATTTATATTTTAGATGATGTAATGGAAAGTGACTTCAGACGTATTTCTGAAGTAATTTTTCAACTTGACGACACTGTATATAACAATACAGGGAGAAAAAAACAGCCCTTGCTGAGTTTCTTGCCGGTTCTTCTCAGTACAAGGTCTCCCGCCGTAGTTTTGCGAACCGATGGCGTAGCTTCTTGACCTTCACAAGTGCTTGTAACAGCCTAGACTGAATAAATGACATTTCATTTCATTTCAGATTATTAACCAAGGGGATAAAGCAGTGTCTTCTGTCGCGGGTGACGATTTAAATCGCGAGCGTAACGAAGGACTCGAGCTTTACTCCCGAGCGTAGCGAGGGTGTTAAAAACTTATGACGATGGGATTTAAAACGAGTCCTGAGTGTAGCGAGGGTTTTAAGTTCACCCAAGACTAAGACAGCTTTATCACCGAGGAAAATACTCTACTTTTCGCGTACCATTTGCGAAAAAATATAACACAATAATAATATGAGATAAACGTTTATTAAAAATAATGACAATTAAAAGTAAAAGTTAACATTCGAAACATTGGTCCAATTAAATACGGCCTCGTCGGTTTTCGTAATTTTATTAATTAATCATAACTGCACAATAAATGCGTATTGCTTTATCAAAAAGATGTATAATGCTTTATTTACAAACTCAATGGTGTAAACACAGTAGTTCAGTATAAAGGACATTGGGCAAAAATGTATGGACGCTGCACCCACGTCCGCCACGGCTTAAACTACATTTGTTTGAAAGGTATTATAGTCATGATCATATGTGACAAAGCGCATCAAATTCCATCCCGGGGGTCTTTAATTATTTTTGGTTAAATAAGTACAAGTTAATACACCTATAACGAACGAACGTTAATAAAATAAGGGAATTAATTTAGTTAGTTCGACTACATTGAGGGCTCAGGTATTATGGGAGTACTCCACAAGGTGCAAGGGTGCCCCCTTGTGTTGTTCTGCCGCGTTAGAGTAAATCCAAAAATCCCCGCATGGGTTGGGGGTTTTTCAAACAGTCTGGTCGTAATAGTAAATTCTCTTCTATATAAAACGGAGCGACCACAAATCACACAAACTTGTCCACTCTTCGAAGAAAACGTGATTTCAGTTCCATACTAATTGTCAAAACGATAATCGTGTTCCAATGTCCAAAGCGTGTTAGATAAAAATCAATCAAGTGACCGGGAGCGCACAATCACAACGAAGTAAGACGAGTCGACAATTTGCAACTGCAAGTCCTTCATCCCCCATAAACCGTTTTGAGGTGGTTCAGTAAGTGCAAGCGCAGGATGGTCGGCAGGCTTTGTCATCTATATCTGGTTGTATAGTACGATATGGCATATTATTATGGTTACTATTAATATAAAATGAAGACACTATAATGTGAATTTATTTAGCTACTTAAATTTTAAGTGAATTCAATTTTCATATTTAATATGCCCATTTGTCATATCTTTTGACTCCCAGGATATTTTTTTACGGTGTCATAATAAAAAAGGCTAGTTTTTCATAGATCTATCGATTCATACTAATTACATTGTTGGCGGAGCTGGGTGCGTTTTGCCCATTGTCCTTTCGGTAAGTATGCCAAATTTAAATCACATTCTTACCCTATAGGATGAATGAAATTCAGTACAACTTTCTTTCCCTGTTTTTAACAGATTAAAAATGACTATTGTTATGTTCGCTTTTTGTGGCATAGAATGTCACTTTTTTGAGCAAGTGGTACGAAAAAGAATTTTTTGGTCAAATTTAGCATGTCACATTTTAAAGAGCGAACGCCAGCCGAGAGCCGAGAGACATTTGAGAAATAGATATTTGGGTTACCTACAATGCGAAGAGATGACGCTGCCTTGCAGCTTCAGAAAGGCTAGAGAGAGTTCGACACGGCCGTCAGGGCCACGGTAGTATAATGGTCAGTGCATTCGCCATTCGAAAGTAGTAGTGGGTCATGGCCCAATCTACCTATTCCATCCATAGGGAAGGCCTGTGCCTTGGGGGGTCACAGGCGGCATGGTTTTTTGTTATTTCCTCAATTTTTAAGCCGGAATAACTATGTTTTGATAATAATTTAATTGATTAAGACTTTAATAGTGTTAACTTATTTTCAGGCAGAATTACCATAGATAAAAAATAAATAAAAAAATTATGTAGATGTACATATCATTTTTTTACTTTTTGAAGTGAGTCTTTAGCGGCATTATACACTTTTTTTGTATGGGTAAAAAATGTTAAACTCGCTTCAGGTTAAACACGTGGGCTGATCGCATCATGACACACAATAAAATTGGAAAGGTTGCTGACTTTCAATATATTGGACGAAACATAGTAATATTTTATTTTACCGTAGGTATTATAATAATAAGTCTCTATCTAGGACGTCCACGTGGCCGCTTTATTGCGAAGAAAATGCATTTTTTTTACAATAGATGTCGCTAAGTGCGCTTAAACGTGATTCATGTAAGTTGATTTTTCTGAGAGATAAACTTTTTTAATGTAATATAAATTGTCATGTTTGTGTACGATAGCGTAATAAATAAATATTGTATTCTACCACATACATGATAGTACTTTTATACTCATAATTAAAGTAATTCGTGCAAAATTATTCCCTAACCATTCCAAAATATCGAAAATGCACAACGTTAATATTCAAGTTTTCACTTCCACCGGCACTCCCGGAGTGCAACCCGTCGTTTCTTTTTATTCATACACACCAATTAAGCCTGGCCAAAGTAAGCACTGTAAAGCTTGTTTTGTGGGCAGCTATGGTAACGGATAGACATACATATATACTGATACATATACAACTATATTTTTATTTAGAAATACATAATAAACATCCATGACTTCGTATTCATCAGACAAGCATTTTCCCCTCCGGGATTTGAACCCGGCAGCTCTGAGGCGACACTTTAAAACCCGATTTATATACCACTCGAGCCATGGATGAAACTTTAAATTGAGTCCATGAGAACGATAGTGGCCTAACTCATTTTTTAACCATTGTGGCCTATCTTACTTGGGCCAGTATGGCACCTCAGTTTTAGATCACAGACTAAAAAACCTTAACAGTGATTGTGCTGCTATCTAGTGAATATTCATTGTATCACTTTTAGACCACTCTGGTTCTATCAAAATGATCAATTTGAACTGGAAAACATCATAAACTCAATATTGTAAAAAAATGAGTTAGGTCACTATGTAAAACTAGTTTTTACGGGTATGCACGAAAACTTTATTTATTTATTGACGTTTCGTAGCCTTTACAGGCTACGTCGTCAGAATAAAACTTTAAAAAAAAAAGTTTTATTCTGACGACGTAGCCTGTAAAGGCTACGAAACTTCAATAAATAAATAAAGTTTTCGTGCATTAACCCGTAAAAACTAGTTTTATTTAATGAGTGATGTGCGTGAAAACCTTAGAAACAAATAGGTCACTATGGTTCTCATGGCCTCAATTATAACGATTCAACATGGGTAAGGAATACATTCAATATAATTTTTTCAATATAATCTTATTGGCAAGTATTGTTTATTTAAAATGGCTTAACAAACGGTTGCATAATAATTAATAATACATACTACAAGACGACTCTTCCAATGAAGGTTAAATACTTTTCAAGTTATTCATTATTAATAGGTATCTACTTATAAGGAGCGCATTAAAACCAGAATGAATAAGCAAAAAATTTAAAAGACTGTCTATGGTTAAAAATAGCACACAAAATGTTCGGCTTTAGCTTGGATGCTAAGTTTTTGCTAACAATAATAATCCAATGTTGAAAATTTAGAAAGAAATCATTGCTATTGTTTCTTTATCTTGTTTGGATTGCCAGCCTTCTGAAGTCCGCCATAACATAGCTGAGAGGAAAAAACGCTGGAGGGAGTTCTTTTCAGATCTTGCTGGAACGCAAGACTAGGGTATTTGACAAGTTTTAGAAAACGATCTCACGTTATTGGCTAATGTTTATGGAGTCCATAAAAAGTGGATATTCATCATTCTGTTGTGTATTTCAGTAAAAATAACCAAATCAAAAACTCCATTTTCAAGTTGCAGCGAAAACGTTTCTTTGGACAATATGGCGACTTACTAGTGTGTGACGTCACACGACTGCTATTAAAACGTCAAACGATACAATGTAATGTCACTTTAACCGGAAGTTTACTTGCGTGTGACGTCATTTTAGGCTCCGCCAATCCCAAGCGTTTTGGGTCACGTGACAAAACATAAGAAAACTATTATCTTTTTCGTTAGTTTTTAGTAAAATTATGAATTTTATTTTTTGTAAAAATAGTAAAATCCCCTGCCAATATTCATTCTAAACACAGATGCTAACAATTGGCACTTTATTTTTAACCCTACTAGGAAAGCGCGTATCGCATAACGCTCTATCGCTTTTCTCTGCGGCGTGCGGTGCGGTGAAGGACCTTAGCCGCTGGCACCAGCAATGCTATTCCGTAAAGACACAACATTTTCAGGAGCGGATCCATATTGCATCCGCTATAGCTCCGCGCGTGATCAACGCGTGAACGCGGATCAATAGAGGATCCGATATGGATCCGCGCGTGAAAATTTTGTGAATCTTTACAGAACAGGAGCTCTACTCTGTTTCAACGAAAAACGAAATTTCGATTCGAAATTTCGCACGTTTCTTACTCTGTTTCTTTTTCATTTCGAAAATTCGTTCGTCCGAAAATAGTTTGACAATTAAATTCTTCAAGCCTACTCTAATTCACAAAACTTTCAAACGAAAAGTTGAATTTGACATATAATTAATTGTTCGAAATTTTAACCTCAAACTGACGAAATGAAAAGTGTTACCTTTTCATTTTCGTTTTGGGACTTTTGTTTAACTTAAGCCTAAAATGACTGATAGAGTCAGTCGAGGCTGCTTAGCGTGAGGATCATTTTTGAGCATGTCAAATTAACAAATACACCGAATTTTAATTAATTATTATATTTCCAATACTTCAAATTATTAAACGACAAATTTAGGTTGACATCAGTGCAGTGCATCAACTCTACAAATTAGTCGACTAACACTGACAAAGAAGGTTCTTTTAATGTCATCAAAAATTTTGTAGTTAAGTAATATTGTTTCCAAGTAAACCAGGTAATCTAAAAAGTGGAGATATAAGAACTCACAAACATGACTCGTTCCATTCGTTCACGAAAATTGTCTGTGATTCCGAACTTTATGTGCGTGTTCGAAAATGAACCCTCCGTTACCCTGACAAACTTGCTTATAGTGTTAGGCCAAAGACCAGTCTTTATTTGAAAAATTCTACAGCTATGTGCATCAAGGTATATAATGCTTTACCAACAGAGTTTCTAAATCTTCCAAAAACGCGTTTTCGAAGGACGATAAAGTCATGGTTGCAGGAACAATGTTTTTACTCTGTAGAGGAATATTTTAATTTTATGTTTAAATCCAGACATAATAAGTGACAAATTAATTAAGATTGTAATTTTTATTTTATGTGATATATATTTATTGTAGTGATTTAATAATATTTAATTGCTTGATAATTTGACATGTGTAAATGGAATAAATGATATAAAGTGTTATGATTGTAAATTTGACTAAAATTTAATTTAATCAATAATATTATGGATTTCTTAACATGTTTATGTGGAGACATATGACGATTAATTGACATGTTTAAATGGAATTAATGTTTTGGAATGTATAACAATAGTGTGACCAATTACAATATTAATATAAAATAATTTGATATTTGCATGCTAATTTAGCGAATCATGTTTGAGCACCATATGTATTGTAACATCTTTTTATTGTACCATGTTTCTTGTAAATAAATATGAATATGAAATAGAGTAGAGTCTTTGGCGAAATTTCGTTCGTTACCGAAATTTCGTTTCGGAGAAAGAGACTAGAGCTCCTGTTCCCGACACACAATACTCACAGTATCGGAACGCGGAACGACACTTTTTTGATTTTTGCTATTTTTGCACATACGAACCACTGGATCCGTGATAGTACAGTCAATCTGTAGGTTGAGTGGTGAAAAAAAAACCTAAAGGGTAAGTCTTGTTTTTTCTGTTGCCAAATGACGTCAGTAAGCCACCTTGGCGATGGGCATGTTCAACTCGTAGGCGTTTTTTGAAAAACTCAAAAAAACCGTCAAAAAAATTTTAAAACGCATTTTTCTTGTTTTGTATGCATTTTAGAGACTTTTTTTTCGAACTTAATTGTAGAGGGCGTTGAGTACTATAATTTATGTCATTGTTGCAATCTCGTACAACAAAAAATGCGCATTGTAGGTGGCGCTAAAGTCTCAAAATAGTGTTTTTTCACTTTTTCACCCTGAAAATATCATTTTAATTTAAAACTTTAAATGGCAAAGTTGTTTCGTACATAATTACCAACAACTTTTGTATAAACAATTTTTTTGTATTACTTACCGTTTTCAAGTTATAAATTGCGCAGGTATGAAAAATCCAATAGAGCGGTTTTGGGCAGTTCAAGAACACATTTGCAGTGCACATTTCAATGTACGTTTTTACTATTTTTTTTTCAATCATGAAAAAAAATAAAAATAAAACTGTTTTTTTTAATTTTTTTTTCTATTTTTTTTTGTTTTTCAATCATGAAAAAAAATAAAAAATAGTAAAACGTACATTGAAATGTGCACTGCAAATGTGTACTTCAACTGCCCAAAACCGCTCTATTGGATTTTTCATACCTGCGTAATTTATAACTTGAAAACGGTAAGTAATACAAAAAAATTGCTTATACAAAAGTTGTTGGTAATTATGTACGAAACAACTTTGCCATTTAAAGTTTTCCATTAAAATGATATTTTCAGGGTGAAAAAGTGAAAAAACACTTTTTTGAGACTTTAGCGCCACCTACAATGCGCATTTTTTGTTGTACGAGATTGCAACAATGACATAAATTGTAGTACTCAATGCTCTCTACAATTATGTTCGAAAAAAAAGTCTCTAAAATGCATACAAAACAAGAAAAATGCGTTTTAAAAATTTTTTGACGGTTTTTTTGAGTTTTTCAAAAAACGCCTACGAGTTGAACATGCTCATCGCCAAGGTGGCTTACTGACGTCATTTGGCAACAGAAAAAACAAGACTTACCCTTTAGGTTTTTTTTTCACTGAAACGATATTTTTTTCGACAGATTGACTGTACTATGATCATAGCGGTTGCAACAGTGCCGAAATATCGGAGACTCATAAAAAACAAGGTAGATGGTAACAATCCCGTTAATAGCTATATTAAATAAAATCTGCACTTACCTCTTCACCTTGCCTTCTGCTATTTTCTCTGCGAGTGCTTGGCCTACTTCTTTCTCGTTCAGGTAGATGTAAGCGCAGTCTATGTGTCGGTAGCCAATGTCGATGGCGTCTTTAACAGCTTGCGTCACTTCACCGGGCTGAGACTGTTGCGATAAAGAAATATTTTTGTAATAAAATCTCTTGCGGACAGCAAAGGTATTTATTTATTTATTTAAACTTCCGGCGGACTTAATGCCACAGACATTCTCTACCAGCCAATCTGAACGAGTGTTAGAGACAAATGGTATGGCGATAGGTCAAAATGCTTTATAATAAAACATTTGGGAAATAACGACAATGGATTCTGTAAGATGGAATCTCACACACGCTCACATTTATTCGGATTTCTGACAAATGTCAATTAATTATCTTATACAGGCTGCTTCTACAGACATAGCGACATTTTGCAGTGTAATGGCTTAATGTATAACAAATTAATGACTTAAATGGCAGCTTCCGAAATCGGAAGTTTAGTGTAGTGTACTGTCGATATAGTTACTACCGGTTTGGTGTACTATCGATGTAGCATCTCTTACAAGTCCGTCTGTCTGTGGTGCTGTTTCAGCGGCCAAACCGTAAGAGATAGATAAAGAGAATATTTAAGTTATAAGTTAAGAATAGTCTGATAAGACTACAAACCCGATTTGAGTAACGTAGCACTTCCGGTTTTCGAGAAATCACGAATTCCAAACGAAACCACACAAAATCTCCGGAGTTCTCAATTAATTAAATACATTTTTTTTAAATCAGGTTTTGGTGAACATTTGGTTCACTGGTTTGCTAGTTATAGCTATTAACGGGATTGTTACCATGTACCTTGTTTTTTTATGAGTCTCCGATATTTGGCACTCGGTACTGTTGCAAGCGCCATGATCACGGAGTCACAACTCATCACTCCGTGATCATGGCGCTTGCAACAGTGCAAAAACTATAGCGACTGGATGTTTAAGGAAAATTATAGCAAATAATATTTTGATATTCGCTAATATGTATACTGAAGTTGACATCACCCATTTTTTTATAATGACACAATAAGACAATAAAGTACAAAAGGGCACAGGCATGCCCATATACAATTGTGCACAACATTAACACACAAATACACATCGAATATAAAAAATGAAATATCTTAAAAAATATATATTTATATATCAGAGTTAAAGAATGTATACAAATATTATTCAAACTCCTCAATCAAAAGTGCAGTGCACTACAGAAAAAACTGTTTACGAAGTTCATAAACCAAATTTAAAAAAAAAACAAAAAAAGTGACATAAACAGGTACTCACTTTCCATGTTCCGAGACCTAGTACCGGGCAAGAGTATCCATTATTAAACTTTACCACAGGTACTGGAGTCATGGTAAAACTTTTTTTTTTTTTTATTAAATAAATACGAACTTTTTTTGCAATGAACGGGTTATGTGTTCGAGAGTTTGATGCACAGTGTGACTGTAGCACAGACTGTAGGAAGCGGCGCGCGGCAATTATTTTTACGTGCAGTGCTGTTTACGGAAGGTCTTAGGGCCATCGCACGTTACACCCACTCGGCGACAACGACGCCGCCACTCCTATTCGACTTATCGGCCATCAGCAGAAATGTGACGTCACATCACACTGGTGTCATTAAAACGTCAAAAGGTACTTGGTAACTTTGGCAGTAAGTATACAAACTTGTTTTTTTTTTTCTTTTTCTTTTATTTTATTGACAAAGATTCACCAACAACGTATAATTTTACATTACAATTTGAAAATATATATAAATACCATACTTAAAGATATGCTTTTTAATAGGTGAATACAACATTCACATAAATACAAATAAACTACAATGAAAGATTAAACAAACAAAAAATACCTATATCCACCATCATGAAAAACAGGTATACTGAATTATAATATCATTTAGTCTGCGTTACAGTCTAATTTTATTTTTTCCACAAACAACCTCTTATATACGCGCTCAGTATTGTGGACTTGTGACTTATATCCAGTATGTAGTAAAAAAAATCCAGTTCATTTAAGTTTTATAATTTACAAGTGGGCCTGGCGTTGCCGGCCCGATAAACATAAAAAAAAAAACAAAAATCAACAGCAGTGCTAGAAATCGGAAGCCATCCAATTCATCAGGGCCGCGGTAGCATAATGGTCAGTGCATCCGCCCGGATAGCGAAGGGTGCGGGTTCGAGTCTTGCGTAGTCCGCGTGGAATTTTTTCTTGAAATTTTTTCTTTATTGTATTATATTTATAGTTTAAGTAAACAGGATATCCTCAATTTGATTTCATGTTTTAAAGATAATACATTAACATAACACAAACTTAAAAACTATATAGCTTAACCTACTTACCTACATAAATAAATAATAAGTTAGTTAATAATTAGTTTAAGTAAACTATTTACCAAAGTTTAAAATCCTGTCACAGTGATTACAGTTATTTTGCAATCTATTTTGATGAATTTAATAATGAGCTTATAATATATGATTAAAATGTATATTTTGAGTTAACGAATGGGTCCACATGTAAGGACTTTTTTTTGAGTGCTCAAGTATAAAGGCTGTTTATTTTTGCATAATAACTACTCACTTTGTTTCACATAGGAGAAGCTCGATGGGATGGCGGTTAGCACGTTCGGCCTACGATCGTGAAAGTTAAGCAACTTTCGCAATGGTCGCTCATTGGATGGGTGACCAAAACTTACTATCTCTGACTCCTTCGTGCTTCGGAAGGCACGTTAAGCTGTTGGTCCCAGTTGTATCTGAAGTCGTTAGCACCCACCAATCTATACTGGGCCCGCGTGGACGGTCATCGGCGCCATGGTCTAATTTCTCTATTCCATCCATGGGGAAGGCTTGGTCCCCAGCAGTGGGGACATTAATAGGTTGTTGAGTATAATGATGACATCGCCAATTGCCTCTTTCTACGCTAAATTGATAAACTTGAAAGTTGCATTTGGAATAATATATTAGATAAAACTAGTTTTAACGGGTTAATGCACTAAACTTTATTTATTTATTGACGTTAAAACTAGTTTTATTTAATGAGTGATGCGCGTGAAAAACTAAGAAACAAATATATTAGAGTTGAAGCCAGCGCGTCTGTGTAATGTATGATGACCCTAATTCAATTATCAATAGTCTCGCATGTAGAGATTACATTGTAGCCATGTTTTTTTGCCAATATTTGCTTTTTATCTAATTTTTACCATAATCTAGTACTACTCAATTATGAATTTACAATTACAAAGCTCTTATAGCTAGGTAAGTATTTTCATCAACACCTATCAGTCCCTGTAGCATGAGCGCCACAATATACATCATATCACGATTTTAATCGCGTCTTACTGTCAAACGCCGTAGCAATTTGACGGTTGAGCGTGATAAAAACAAGATAGGTTTAAAAATAAATAAATATTATACAATATATTTTTAAAGGCCTGTGCCCCAGCAGTGGGGACATTTATAGGCTGATGATGATGATGATATATTTTTGAAAGTTCACTTTCATCGTGGTGTCAGAAAATCACATCATTTATTTATATTTATTTCATGTTTTTATACTTTATAAATAATGTAATAACCAAGTCTCATATATGTAAAACTCAAAAGTGACTGACTGACATAGTGATCTATCAACGCACAGCCCAAACCACTGGACGGATCGGTCTGAAATTTGGCATGCAGGTAGATGTTATGACGTAGGCATACGCTAAGAAAGGATTTTGATCAATTCTACCCCCAAGGGGATAGAATAGGGAATGAAAGTTTGTATGAAACTTTGTCAATTTTAAACCGATCGGGCTGAGATTTTGCATGCAGGTATAAGAAGATTCATAGATGAATGTCATTGTGTATAATACAAGCCTGAGAACAAAAAATGTAGTGTACACTTCAGCTCTACACCGAAGCGAAGCGAGGATGTGCGTGCGGACTGAGTGATCTTTTCAAAAAACTCATCCAACCACAACCAAATTATAAGAGGATTTAGGAAATAATTGTGAAAACTTAATGGTAAGGTATAAAATTTGTGAAACCTAAACAAAGAAAGTTAGAACTAATTAACTGGATCACTCAATCTGGACACCTGAAGAATAAGCCATAACGCGTACCTATTCAAGAATATACTACCTACCTATGTGTTTATAATTTGTATTTGAAATAATTGTGAAGAATTTGTGAAAGCTGCTAAACAAATTTTCGATTCATTTCAAAGCCAAGTTTAAGATTTAGAACGGTTTATATGGATCACTCAGAATGCACTATGTTCATTTGAGTGATCTTTTAAAACACTACCTTATACTGAGAAAGTATGAAACATTATCATGTTTATTATAAATTATGCTTCTGGGAAAATTTGTGAAACAAAGATCGGGATTGAAATCTTACTGGTTTAAGAGAAAATGAAAATCTTGTTTTTTCTCGATCGTCCCAACTGAGTGATCCTTATCTTGAACTATATTTAATGAACCCAAACTTATAGGTGGAAGGTAGTTACATCAGAAATTGTGAAAAATGTTGTACTAAAATTTGACGAACCAATCGTCCCAATAAGTGTTATATTTTAAAAGATAACTCATTTTTTACAATCCTTAAGGAAAGCGTAGCGGTGATAAATAACGGAATAGGGAGTACGGGCCATCCGTAACCCACCACGCAGGGCCACTGCGGATTGGTGGGTGCTAGTAACTGCAGATGCAGCCTGAATGGACAGCTTTAACTTGGAGCAAGCATGGAGGAGCTCGCAGCGGAAAATATTGGTCACCCATCCAATAACCGGTCGTTGCAGAAGTTGCTTAACTTCTACAATCGCAAACATTTTACCAGCTGCGCCATCGAGCTCCTCAAAGAGCAATTTACCGCAATCAATACTCATACATATTTCACAGTCAATTTCTTGTAACCTGTATGTCTTTCATATTGGTTTCATAAATTATCAATGAATTGCAGCTATTTTCTGAACAATCAGGCCCTATTTTATATAATTGGATTGAACTTTTGCATTGTAAGTTGTACTATTTGATTCTGATGACTGATCAAATTCAAATTTTTGACGACCGCCGTGGCCGAGTGCGTACAAACCGCCGGATTTCAAGGTGTCGACTACTCGGGAGGTCCCGGGTTCGAATCCCGGTGGGGGCAGATGTTTGTGTGATGAATACGCGCATTTTTACTCCAGTCATGGAAGTTTAATATGTATTTCTTTATAGATATGCTAATATATGTACAGTATATGTATTCTATCCGTTACCCTAGTATCCCATAACGCATGCCTTACAGTGCTTACATTGGGGCTAGGCTAATTGGTGTGAGTGTTGGAAATATTTATTTTTTATTTAATCTGACATCATTGAGGTACGTTCATACCAGTACGCAGGCACAGGGTCGTTTTCCCGTGTTCCAGTAACTGAAAACAATGTTCTTATTGCTACGGGTGCTCAAAATCGAGTAATGTCATTCGTGCACCCGAATATGTGCTAAAGAATTTTTTTTGAACCGTAAGTGTGAAATATTTACGCTTAAGTTACATACAGCCATACCGTTTATTGCTTACCTATGGAAAATTTGGAACAAATGTAATCGTTGTTACCTAGCGCAACCTTGAGACGGGCCATGCACATAAATCGTGCATGATACCGATTCACCGCTGTTTTTTTTGATGCCACAGTCAAGAGTAATAATCAGTAAGTGACATTAAAATAAATCGCGTTGGTTGAAGTTATGAATAATAATATATTTATAAATTAATTAATTTTGAATGGTTTAGTCCTCAAGGAGCTTTTATAATGGAATCCAAGTAAGGTTTAGAATAATAATAATAAATAAATAAATATTTTCAAACACTCACACCAATTAGCCTAGCCCCAAAGGAAGCATTGTAAGGCTTGTGTTATAGGATGCTAAGGGGAATAGAATACATATACTGTATATATATAAGTATATTTATACAGAAATAGAACTTAAACATCCATGACTGGAATACAAATGCTCGTATTCATCACACAAACATTTGCCCCTACCGGGATTTGAACTCGGAACCTCTCGAGTCGGCAACACCATGAAACCCGGCGTACAAACCACTCTGCCATAGAGGTCGTCACACGTAAGTATACAATATAAAAAACAAAAATATGTGTACTCATTAAACAAATAAATGCTCCTCACTGGGATGTTTAGGTAGAAGGCAGGAGAGCTGCCGTTGCACCAATGGGTCTTGCGTATAATTAATATACACACCCTGCATAATATACATATTTATTACCGTCATTCCAGGTAACGGACATAAAACGCGGTCAATAAATTTTCACGACCAGATACGGCTGTGAAAAACTACAAAACACATTTTCGTGGACATAACAACGGCTGAAATTTTTTTCCGAATAAAAGAAGATATTTTCGTATGAAAAATTGTAGGGAAACTCGAGGTCGTATTATACAAATTACAGACAATATTCAAAACTTGATATTCAGACTCAACGT